AAGGTAGTGTCTGCCTTCCTTCTCAGACCCTTGCTATGATCCTGAGGGGTTCTATTTGGACAAAGTCAGGTAGCCACATGGGGGAAGACCATGGAAGACATGTCCCCTGGCAGTCAGTACAGCAGCCTAAGGCACCAGGAATTTAAAAATCTAGATACCATGTATGGAGGAGGCTCAGGTAACTTCTTAGTGACTGCCCAGGGAGGAAAACAACCCATTTTGAAAGTCAATCTGTGATTTGTGTTGTTCACAATTCTGCAAGCCTCTCAAGGCCTAAGGAAGACCATGTCTATTGCCCTGAGGCTTCTACTGGCTTAGAAGAGGCAGGTCAAGTCCAAAACAACATGCTATTCTGGCTGGAGCTCCAAGAAAGGTTGACCTAGAAGTTCCCACATGGCAACACGTGAAGTGGAAGGAGAGTATTGGGTCTGGGTTGGCAGAAGCCTGCAGGACCAGCAGCAAAACTCCCAGGCCAACTCCATTGCCAAAGCAAAGACCTAGCTCAGATCCTAGGGGAGTTATGGAGGAGGCCCCGTGCCAACACCCAAAGGAGGCTTTAGATTACCTCATCTTCTCTGGGAACACTGAAACTAGCAGCCCTTTGGCTCCTCCAGGAGGGAAGAAGACAGCAGGTCTCTTCCTTGCCAACAACTGTGCAATTATCAACCCATTGCTACTCATCCTTCCACTTTGCTGTGTTACAGAGATGGTGAACTGAGGAATGGGACTTCCAAGGTTGACCCACCCACTACTCACCTTTCATAGTGCCTTCCAGGGCCTGTGAAATGGATGAGATAGGAGAGAGCCCTTCCACAGAACGTCACTTGCTCTTGGCACATGGCCTTGAGCACAAAGGTGTTCATGTGGAACTTGAACCAATGAGCAGTAGCCACACTCTTGAGCCACCCACTGGAGTTGCTGCCCTATCTCTAGCTGGAGGCTGCAGTTCCCCTTCCACCCCTGGTGTGAGGACAAGTTTCCTCACCCACTCAGCTGCTGATAGAAGCTTGAGGTCAGTGAGGAGTCCTGAGAAAAAGGTGACTGAGAAAGCCAGCACTGAACTTGAGGCTGTCCTTTTCCCTGAAGTCATGATCTCTGAGCCATTGAGGACTTCAAAGGATTGCTCTGTAGGTGGCCAGAGTGCACCGGCATCTCAAACTAAGCCAGAACCACCTGCAACAACTAAGGGACCACGCAGCCTGAATTTAAGAGAAGGGTCTGTTGAGAGCGAGCTGGTGGCAGAGACACAGCATAGATATTTAGAAAATGCCATTAGACACCTTTCAAAAAAGACACAGCCTTCCACTGAGTCCACAGGTCACAGTTGCTCAGATTCCAAAGCCAGGTTTCTAGCTAGGTTAAAACGTGTCTGCAGTCCTCAGCCTGACAATTCCTGGGAGGAGGAAGAAGAAGAGCAACAGAAAGACCAAACTTTGGGAGGTGATGAAGCCCCTGCCCAGGGTAGCAATCCCCCACCCTCTGATGAAGAAGACTTGGATGGCTGTCAGATGAGTGGTGCTAGAGAAGGGGAAGTGGCTGTGACCAAGTCTCCTGGGTCCCAGACTTTCTTTTCAGGGTTTAAGGACCCAGCTTCTGTGTCCTTGGAGCAAAGTGAAGCACCACAGCCTGCTGCCCAGAGGCCTGGCCAGCCCTGCTCTGATAGGGAGCAGCCGGCTCCCCACCAGAGGTGCTCTCTTCCTGTGATTGCAATTTTCTCTGGCTCCAAACCCTCCAAGTCTTCCCCTAGACCCCAGTTCTCCGTGGTCAGCTCATCTCGGTCTCTTAAGGAACTCAACTTGAGTGTAGAGCCTCCTCCTTCTACAGACGAGGATGCACAGGGGCCTAACAGACTGCGGAGCCCACATCTCAGGGACTGTTCAGGAAAATCAGTTGCAAGAACATGTCTGAGGTCTGAGGACTGTAATCAGAAATCTTCATTGAATTTGGACACTAGCCCTGCTGATTACAGGCCCCTGAAACCTGCCACCCCTCCTTACCCAACGTCTCCTGCTCTCTCATGCATGCCAACCCCTGATTTCATGACCAGCTGGATTTCTGGCACTTTGGAACAGGCCCAGCAAAGAAAGCCAGAGAAATTGGGTGTCCAGGTTAGGCCAGATCATTGGTGCTCTCAGCTGGACAAAGGAATGTTGCACATTGGCTCCAGTGACATCAATCCCTATGTCTTGCCCTGGTCTCCAGCGGGGTCTTCATGCATTGGCTGGAAGCAGTATGTGTTTGGCAGTGCAGTTGATGTCTCCTGGAGCCAAAAGCACCATGGCCTGATACCATCAAATGTGGCCCAGTGCTCCAGCATGGACATTGCCTAGAAGGCCAGAACTCAGCATTCCACTCCCACCTCAGCATCTATGCCAAAACCCGGGATCTGTCAAACACACGCAGCAGCATTGAGAATGCCCAAAGTTCAAATGAGGCTGGGGAAGTGTGGCATTCCTCATTTGCCTTAAGGGAACCCCACATCCTGACTGGCCCTCAAGGGGTAGACCCCACTTCAGGTACTGACAGAAGACCCCACTTTCAGGACCCCAGTGATGAAGCTAGCTGCACCAAGAGTGAGCTCCCACTGGCAGAAGGAAGTTCTGCAGGTCCTGTGGATGAGATTGTGCTTCTGTACCCATCAGAGGCAGGCTGCCGTATGGAACAGGCTAGGATAAACACCTTGGAGCAGGGCACGCAGACCCTGGGCACTGACGTCTCTGCTCAGCCTGTCTCCAGTGTTGTGTCAGCCTGTGACCTGGCCGCCTGGACCAGCATGCACAATCTGTCTCTCCATCTCTCACAGCTCCTGCACAGCACCTCAGAGCTACTTGGCACTCTCTCCCAGCCAAGTGTAGTCCAAAAGGAGGAGAACACCAAGAGTGATACCTCAGATGAGGCCGCACAGGCCCTTAGAATGGACGGTGCTACTCAGACAACTGTGGATGAGGGAAGCCAGACTGACCTGGCTTCAGCCCTTCTCCCCTCCACGTGCCAGAGATCAAACCACAGGAAGTCAATGTGATCCTTGAAGTGCTGGGCTCAGGTATCGAGCCCCTGTCTCTAGAAAAGGACCATGTCCCAGAGGCACTTCAGAAGAGAGAAGCAGAGGAATCAGCACAGAAAATGACCTTGCCTCCAGATCTTCATGAGGAAAGCACCCCCTGTGGCCTGCAGAGTCCTCCAACGCCCTCATCCCACTTGAGGGTTGAGAAAGCCCGTCTGGGCAGAGCATCCCTTCTGAGAGCCCCCCAGCTTCTCCTGATGCTGCCCTGCCTCCCAGCTCCCAGCCAGAGCAATCCTCCTGCATGGTGGTCAATAACCCCAGCATCCCTCACTCACCAGGGTTGTTTTTTGATACTTCAGAGTCTACCTGGGACCCTGGCATCCAGAAGAAGCTGGGCCCCTTGGGGGCCTTGTTGGTGGACCGGGCCTCCTCCCCAATTCTCACCCTCAGGGCTGGCACCCAAGAGTCAGGTCCCCCCCTACATGCTTGGATTCCCTCAGCTCTGCCTCTTGAAGACCACCCGAAGCTTGACTTTAGTCTAGACCTTGCTCTACGTGCCCCCAAACCTCCAATGGATAGTTATTCTCAAAGTATAGACGTGTCATGTGGCTCCCAGAAAGTTGAGTCTGGAGGTAGAGGAGGCGTGAGTCCCTTAGAAAGGAGTGCTGAGAGCTTACTCCTGGAGGCGAGCTCCCCATGTACCCCCCTACAGAGCACCAGAATCCAAGTTAGTTTCTCAGGGGAATCCCCTCAGCAGCTTCAGCCCAGGACGGCCACCAGGGTCCAAAAAAGACTGCCGCCTCCACCACTGAGGCACAGGAGCTTGAGGCTGGCTGATAGCTTTGTGCCTGAAGTGGCAGCTTCCTCAGAGCATGGCTCACTGAGCAGTAGAGGGCCAAGTCGATGGCAGGGCAGGCTGGAAAGTGGGAGTGAAAGTGTAGCATCTATGGTGGAGCCACAAACCACTCTAGACCTCTCCTCTTCGTGGAGAGGCCTCCAGCCCCTTAGCCCCTGCTCTGTCTCTCACCTGGCCGACACTGCAGGGCTTCGAGCTTCTACCTTGGGCCCACCTGAGGCTGGACAACTTGAAGGGCTACTGTGCCCCAGTTCCCCAGTGTGCATGGCCCCTGAGCCCCAGCATCATAGCCTGAGAGACCTTCCACTGCATAACAAATTTAGTAACTGGGGTGGGGTTCATGATGGCTCTCCTGGGGGGCTGGGTGTAAGTAAAGATCTCAATGCTGGAGAGCAGAGACAAAGGCCTCCGCAACCTCCCAACAACCTGGATCCTGAGTGGTCCCGCAGGGAGCAGATCCCCCTGCACGTTGGGGTCCAGAAGCCCTCACTCAGCATAGAACTCACGGAAGCAAAACTGCATCGTGGCTTCGGGGAGGCGGATGCCCTTCTGCAGGTGCTGCAGACTGGGATGGGGGAGGCACTTGCTCCTGATGAACCTGAACCTGTGACATTCACCTGGAAAGAGCTGTATTCCCGGTGAGCTCTGCAGCCTGGTAGGCAAGGGGTGGGCCAAGAGGGAGGAGAACATGAGAAAGCTAGCAGCGGGGTGCTCCCTCTGCCCTTTCTTAGAGTCAGAACTTGAGGTGATGGACATTCAGGGCCCGATTCAGTGAATCAATCACGTTCTGTCTCAGGCAGAAAAAAACTATTGAGACCCTCAGGAGAGAGAGGGCTGAGCAATTTCAGAACATCCGTCGGACACGAAGCCTCAGCCCCCAGAAGCAGCAGAGCTTCCTATTCAACAGGGATCTCCCCAACCGTGAACTCGATTTGCCCAGCAGACGCCGGGAATACTTGCAGCAACTGAGAAAGGATGTCGTCGAGACTACCAGGTAATAATGGACCCAGAACCCTGCAGGGGGCAGGGGCTGGAGTTTCAGCATCCTAGAGGCTCATCCATGCCTGTGGACACCTGGAGGGGGAGGATATGGGACGCTAGGACAGACAGAAAGAAGGGGATATAGGATATAGGAGGGAATAGAGTGAGGGAAGTTGGGCAAAGAAGAGTCATGGAAAATGATGGCCAGAGGGGCTCTGACCTGCCTTAAAAGTCTTAGAATGGCTGTTCCTTTCTTTTCTGGAAGCCTCTGCTGAGAAGGTAAAATCATGCTCCTGTGCACGAAGGAGGGTGGTTCTTCAAGAAGGTGATATTGAACCACCTGGGCTGGGCAGGCCAGGGCTGTCACCAGCCATCTTAGAAGGTCTCTTTTAACCCTGTGATCCTGCTAGGAGCCCAGAATCACCATTGAGGTCTGTTCTGCCTCCTCTGACATCGATCTGATGCTGCGGGACTATCAGCGGGCCCGTGAGGAGACCAAAGTGGAGATTGCCCGGGCACGGGAGAGGCTGCGGGAGCGGACTGAGCAGGAGAAGTTGAGGATCCGCCAGCAGATCACCACCCAGCTGCTGAGGGTGCGGCTGTGCCTTCGCCTCAGATGCTGAGTGTGGAGCTAGAGCACATGCAGAAGGGAGTGGGACCCAGCTCAGCGTGGGGCTCAGGGGCTCCTTCTACCCACATCAGACCAGACCCTGCCCTCCTTCCCTCCCTCCAGCATCTGGGACCAAGGGGAGAAGAGGCTTTGGTGGTAGTTGGGTGGGAGGAGGCCATGGGAGGTGGGTGCAGGAGCTGTGAAGGTGGGAGAGGATGGTTGGGGAGGGGATGTGGGGGGTGAAGATGCATGGAAGTTGCTTAATGATGGTCTACACTTCCCAGGAAGAGGAAAAACTACACTCCCTGGTCAACTCCAGCTCCCTGTGCTCTAGCTCCAATGGAAGCCTCTCTTCTGGTGTCACTTCTGGTTACAACAGCAGTCCAGCCTTGTCAGGCCAGCTTCCGTCCCCAGAGGGTGTGGTGAGTGGCAGAGATGTTGGGAACAGGCCAGGGGCCAGGACTCTGAAATGAGAGTTTGGGTCTTTGGATTTCCCTCTAGGCTCCCCACTCTCCCTCTGTCATTCTTTCAAATACCTTCTCTGCGTTTTGTAGGCACTATTTGAGGATACAGCAGTGAGGACAACTGTTCTTGTCCTTAGACTATTAGTAGGAAAAGCACCAACCTGCTTATTTTATGATTAATTTTCATCACAATAAGTTATTTGGAGAAAGGATGCTAAGCCAGAATAAAATGGGGGTCTGAGCAGGTGTGCAAGGTCAGAGACACCTGAGGACAGTGTGGAAGGAGGAGACATCCCCAGTGCTGGTGCTGAGAGAGATTCAGGCCCAGCAAGTGAGGCCTTGAGGAAGGGAGAGTTTGAGGAGCTGAAGGAGGGCTGGTGTGGCTGGGACATAAAGAGTAAGGAGAGCAAATGACATGAGAGAGGATGAGAGAAGACCAAGGGGTGGAGACTGTCTGAGAACTCAGAGAACACCTCATGATGTTACTTCCCAAAGAATTAAAAAAAAAAGAAAAGAAAAAACTGCTATAAGTGATAGGAACCTTTTACCTAGGAGAAGAGCATAGTGGGACTAGAAGGGGAGGTAAGTACAGTGCTGGGGATGACCATGGCAAAATGAGTGAGATGTTGAGGGCGTGGTTTAAGTGCAGCCAGTGAAAATGACTGCTTTGCAAGCAACAGAGAACGAATACAGGACTGGGCAGTGGGTGGGAGTTAGAGGGTGTCATGTGCATTTTTCGGTCTCCCATTTGCCCTCTCTGGAAGCGCTCATCGATCCCCCTTGGTGTCTACTCCCAGGGGGAATGTGCATATGCAGGAATACCATTCATGTGCATATGCAGGAATACCATTCATGTGTAAAGCCTGTGAATAGAAGCATTCTGTTACCCACTTTGTCACTTTGCTTTTTGAGACAGGGTTTCACTACATAGCCCAAACTGGACTGGAAGTCACTATGTAGCCAGTGTCACTTTGCTTTTTTTTCTCCTTAAAAAAGTCTTTTTGGCTGGGCTCCTTGATGTGCACCTGTCATCCTAGCTATGCCAGAGACTGGAATCAGGACTCTCAGTTCCAGGCCAGCCTGGGCAAAAAAGTTAGCTAAACCCCATCTCAACCTGGGGGTGGGAGCAGCTGGGTATGTCATCCCAGCGATGGCAGGAATCCCAAATAGGAGAAATGTAGTCCAGGCAAGCCTGAGCAAAAACCAAGACCCTATCTTCAAAATAACTAGTGCAAAAAACAAAAACAAAAAACATGAAAAAATAACCAAAGCAAAAAGAGCTGGAGGTATGGCTCAAGCATGAGAGTGCCTGCTTTGCAAGTGCCAAGCCCTGAGTTCAAACCCTCGTACTGCCAAAAAAACCCCAAAACTTTAGGATTTCATTGCATATCAGTAAATCTAGTGCTAAATTCTTTTTAATAGCTGAATAGCGTTTCTTCCTCATTTACTGCTTTTTTAAAAAGTGTGATTTTGTACAGAACCGGCAAGAAATATGAACATACCTTTTTAAAAAATAAAGGTATACTAGGAAATGCTTATCCCTGACCCAGGCCACTGGTTCTTCTCCCTCTGTTCACCCAAAGAAAGCAGTGTGGATTTTCCAGTGTATCTTCCCAGAGGTCTTTATGCATACAAAATGAGACATGCTATGCTTTTTTCACACAGTGTGTCTTAGAACTCTTTCTACTTAAATATGTGGGGAGTTTTCTGCCTTGTACAGATGTGCTGTAATTCGTTTAATCCTGCAGTGTGGGTTGTTATCAGTCTTTTGCTGTTATCAACACTACAACGAAGAGCTTTGTGCATGTGTCATTTTGTATATGTACAAATATATCTGTGGGATGCAGTCTCAGAAGTAAATTTGTACACAGAGTATATGCGTTTGAAATTTTGATGCATTTTGACCAACTTTCCCCTCCAGATGTGCTAATTTATACACTCACCAGCAATGGCAAGTCTGGAATCTACCTTTCCCCACAGTCTTACCAACAGGTTATCAGTGTATGCGTGTGGGGGGGTGGGGGCGTTGCTAAAAAAAGGTACCTAATTTTTCTCATATACTTTCAAATATTAAGCATAACAAAATACTTTATTCATTTTTCCATGAGCCATTGCTTATATTCTTTGCTCCTTTCTTTTTCACTTTTCTCTCTTTCTTTCTTTTTGGTAGTACTGGGATTTAAACTCAGGGCCTTGAGCTTGCTAGGCCGGCACTCTACCACTTGAGCCATGTCCTCAGTCCTTTTTTTTTTTTCTTACTAGTTTTTGAGAGCTCTTTATATATTAGGAAGACTAGCCCTTTACCTGATAGGAATTCCAAATGTTTTTTTCCAGTACTTCATACTCTTTTGACTTTATTTTTCTTGTGGTCATTCATAAAAATTTACTTACCAGTTTTTTTCTTACAATGTCTGGGTTGTAAAGAATAACTAGAGCCACCACGTCCATTCCACATTATGTACCGAATTTTTCCCGTGGTTTCTTGTGGAACGCTGTGATTTTATTTTTCTTGTCTAAAAGTTCCATTTGGAATTACTTTATATGTAGTATGAGATGTGGATCCTTTTTATGCTTCCCAGCAGCTGTCAGTTGACCTGGAGACTTGTTGGACCATCTTTGTATCACCAGTTAAGGTGTCCCCTTACCTTCTGAATGACCAGGGGAAGCACCAGCTTCCCCTCCATCCTCATCTCCTCTTCCAGACCATTCATTCTGTTTGTTTTTGATATGAAATTTATCATTAGCTTTTCTAGTTCAATACAAAAACTAGTTAGTTTTTTAGTGGGACCATGTTAAATTCATGGAACAGCCTAGGCAGTAACCATATCTCACCCTGTGGAATTTCCTAACCAAGGACACAGTAGTTTCAAGCCATCTTTTCAAGTTTTCTTCATGGCTCTCACATTTCTTGTCAGATTCAGATTTATTCCTAAATGTCATAGCTTTTTTGTTACTATTTTTTAATGTCTTATTTATTGTGCTAGAGCCAGGTTATGCTGGTTTTAGGAGAAATGATTATTAAGATCTTTTTAAATCTTCAGGCTTTTTTTTTTTTCTTTTTGGTGGGACTAGAGTTTGAACCCAGAGCTTTGAGGAGGCTCACCTCTCTCCAGTCCATGTTGCTCTGATTAGTTTGGATATGGGGTCTCAAGAAATGTTTTCCTGGGCTGGCCCTTGAACCTTGATCTTCCCAATCTCAGCTTCCCAAGGAGCTGGGATTAAAGGCAGGAGTCACTGGCACCCAGCTTTCATTGCTACTGTCTTCTACCTGCTGACTTCTGTGCATTAATTGTATCATCTATATTGGTTTTTGGTCATCTCTAGATCTGTACTGTCTGCTCTTTCAATTTACTTAAATTAGTTACAATGAAAATCTTGGTTATTTATAATTAATACGCATTATGCCGCTTAATGGGATTCCAAGTGATTTCTGACATGCATACAGCGTGTACCTGATCATGTCCATCCCCCTTCTACTCTCTTCCCCCTTCCTGTCCCCAGTAATGATTCTTCCACTTTCAGATCGCTTTTTTTCTTTGTTTCCATATGTGAGAAAGAATGTGTGATGCTTGTCTTTCTGTGCCCGCTTTATTTTGTCTCACAAGATTCTTCCAGTTCTGTCCGTCTTGCTTCAGGTGACAGGGTTTCAAGTCGTCTTTATATATTTCCCTGATTCACTGTTGACAGGCACCTAGGCTGGTCCCATATCTTAGCTGTTGGGACTAGTGCCACAGTAAACATGGGCACACAGGTGTCTCTTTTATAAGCTGATTTCATTTCTTGGGATATATACACAGGAAGCTGTATGTATCCATATACACCTATGGATCCATATAGTGGATCTAATTTTAGCATTTGAGGACCCTCCTACTGTTCTGGTGGCTGTACTAATTTGTGTTCCCACCACAGTTTAGAGTTCCTTTTCACCACATCCTCACCAGCACTTATTTTTTTTAATAGGCATTCTAACCATGTTGAAATGGAATCATTGCATGTTTGTTGTGTTTGGTTTTGTTTTGTTTTTTTTTGTTTTTTTGATAGCACTAGAGTTTGAATCCAGGACATTGTGCTTGTTAGGCAGGTGCTCTGACACTTGAGCCACGTATACCCTTAGCCCTTTTTTTTGTTGTTGTCATTTTTTTAGATAGGATCTAGGATTTTTGCCTGGGGTCAACCTTGTACAGCAATCCCCCTACCAATATCTTCCAGATAACTTGGATTACAGGCACAGGCCACCATGCCTATTGTTGGTTGAGAGGGAGTCTGACTAACTTTTTGCCTGGGCTGACCTCAAACCATAATTCTCCTAATATCTGCCTACCAAGTAGCTGGGATTACAGGCATGAGCCACAAAGCATAAAGGATTTATTTTGGCAAGATCTGTGAAATGGGCCTCTGATGTAATGTTTTTTGTGCTCAGCTATCTCAGCATTATTTATTAATTTATGATTATAATTGGAAGTCATCGATGTAGCACTGGAAACAGATGAGATCATCGAGGCATATATTATGGAGTAGAGAAGTAGGGCCTTGGCCTGAATCTTGAAACAATCCCAAAATGTTTTATGGCTGGAGAAGAGGAATCATCAACACCTGGGAAGGGAGCAGATTGCTGGGGAGGAGGAGCCCGAGGCTCAGTGACCAGGAGGGACTACAGCTGAAGTTATTCCCCCCATCCCAGCCCCATGGTATCCTGGACCTAGGTGATTGCTGTTTGGACAGGTGTGAGGGCAAACACTAGATGCAGGCGGGGATGGAAGTGAGAGAAAGGCAGAACACTGGGTTCTGAAAGCTTATCTGTGGGGGTGTGGGGGATGTTTGCATGCTTAAATGTTAATAGCAAGTACCCAGGGAAGAGGTGAGGAGAGAGTCAGTAGTGAAAGGTTTCCAATAGGGTGGCCTGAGATCTCAAGGCTTGCTGTGTGTTGTAGCAGGAGGGATAGAGGTGAGGAAGAAGGTTGAGCTGTTTTTGTTCACCCCTTCTCTTGTCTTCACAGAAGCCATAGGTTAGGAAGCAATGGACAGAGGTGGCTTGTGGTTGCCTCTTAGGTCCCGCAGAGGGTAGGCCATGTTGTTGAGAAGCTAGCTGAGAAGCAGATGCAGAGGACCGACCCCATCTGGCCCAGAACAGGACCTCTGGAAGAGCTGCCACATCCAGGCAGTGGCCAAAGATTCAGCCTTTCTTCCCCATTCACCTCCCTCTGTGGCTTTTTTATCTACACTGACTCCCCTCCTGTGTTGGCTCCCTTGCTGTGGCCACCATGGATCTCCACCCACTGATTCCTGAGGTTGGCAGGCTGGCAGAATGCCCAGTACTCAAGATCTGGTTCTTCTGCTTCCTGTTGGGACTGGTCTGCACAGTCTTTAAGCCCATGGCCTGGAGGGAGAGGACATTTTCCCAGCGGTTCTCCGCTGCTGACCTCATGGGAGCATCCAGCATCCTGTAATCCTGACAGGGAAGGTCTTGATGAAGCCAGTACAGGGGAAGCCATTAAGCAGTCAGAGATAATTCTGTGCCTGCTTTTGCGTTAGGTTCTGAGCATTCTCTCTTTTGCAGGGGGACTCAAACTCCTCGGATCCCAGAGACACCTGGATAGGGGATGGGCGGAGCCGCTCTGCAGTGAGGAATAGTCACCTGTATGTGGCAGGGACTGTCTGGAGGAGCTCTGCTTACAGTGAGTGGAGGAGTGCCAGGGGCATCCATACCTGTCCAGTCCCTGGTGGGAAGCTGTTGCTGTCCCCAGGCCCTGCCGTTTACTGCCAGCTTAGAGCCTTCACCTGTTCCTTGTAGGCTACAGAGCCTCGCTGGGCAGCTGCTGCTCTCCCTCCAGCCTGTCCAGCTTGGGGACCTGTTTCTCCTCCTCCTACCAGGATTTGGCCAAGCACATTGTGGACACCACCATGGCTGATGTGAGTCACTGCTCCTACTCATCCCTAGCCAAACCTCTGCTTGGTGGGAGGGGAGAGGAAAGGAGCCAGGCAGATTAGGGCCACCAAAGCTTGTGCCCTTCTTTTGTGGCTCTCCATCTCAACAGAAGGGCATTCAGTGAATGCCAGCCAGATTGACGACCCTGGCAGTGTGGTTTGTACTGTGTCTGTTAACTTGGTCATGGCCACTGTGTCCCCAGGTAATGGCTGCTTGTTCAGAGAATCTGCACAACCTCTTCACCCGCCAGCCGGCAGCTGGCTGGAAGTAAGTTCTGCAGTCGTGGTCCAACCCTGCTGTCCTGTTTGCCTTCTTTTTCCTTTCCCTTCTCTGCCCCAGCTTCCTAGAATTCTGTACCCTGGTTCCTCCTTCATGACTCTGGAACCCACTGTTTACCTTCTCTTTCCACTCCTCGGTGTCCCCCAGCTATCAGGGTGAGGAGCAGGAAGTGCAGCTGTACTACAAGGAGTTTTCTTCTACTCGGCACGGCTTCCTAGGGGCAGGTGTGGTGTCCCAGCCGCTGTCTCACGTGTGGGCAGCTGTGAGTGACCCCACCCTGTGGCCCCTCTACCACAAGCCCATCCAGACAGCAAGGCTGCATCAGCGGGTGACCAACAGCATCAGCCTGGGTAAGCCCAAGGGAGGAAGGCTTCCCTGGGCCTGGTCTCTGGCCAGGGGTCTTGGATAGAGGGCTGGATGCAGCCTTGTTATATGGCTAGGGACTCAGGTTACCTCCAGATTGTTCAACCTGGATCTTTTTGGGTGTGAAATCCCAGAATGAAGGGGGTTCTTTGGCCAGGAGGACTTAGGACTGTCCGTCTGCCCTCCAGTATACCTGGTGTGCGATACCACACTGTGTGCCATGAAGCAGCCGCGGGATTTCTGTTGTGTCTGTGTGGAAGCCAAAGAGGTGCCTACTGTGCTGGTGGTAAAGACATGGGGAGAACTTGGGCATCAGATCTCACTGGGGGTGGGAGGTGGGGGTGCAGAGGGAGATTAGAGCTGGGGCCAGGGCAGGGGTGGCTCAAAGGCTGGCCCACTGTTGCCTTTCACCTTTCACATTTCTGACCACACTTAAGCACATCACTGTTTTGTCTTTGACAGTCAGGACTCACATCTATCTCTGTCCCCAGGGACAATTGTCTGTCATGGCAGCTCAGTCTGTATATGACACGTCCATGCCAAGACCCAGCAGAAATATGGTTCGAGGGGAGATCCTGCCCAGTGCCTGGATCCTGCAGCCTGTCACCATAGAAGGGAAGGAAATCACCAGAGTCATCTTCTTGGCCCAGGTGATATGGCCCTTGCAGGCTGCCTCACAGTGCACTTGGGATCTTTATAGCTGTGCAATACCCTTCAGTGGCCAGGCCCTTTGGCCTGAGAGCCAGACTCAGGCTTGTTGGACTCGCAGCAGGGGAACTAGAGAGAGGAATGAAATAGTTTATCAGCCCTTCTGACGCTGCCAGTGTCAGAGACATAGCAGCCAATATCCTGTGGCTTAGCCAGGGTCCCCTGCAAGGTAAAAGCAGCAGCCTTGGTCGAGCAGAATCATTGTTTACCCATTTATGCTCCCCGTCCCTGACTTAAACTTTGTCACTGCCCAGGGCTGCAGACATCAGCCTGTGTGGACTGGAGCAAGCTTGGCACCTTCACTTCTTCCTTCTGTGCTTTCAGGTGGAGCTGGGCGCGCCAGGCTTCCCCCCTCACCTCCTGAGCTCCTTTGTCAAGCAGCAGCCGCTGGTCGTGGCCAAGCTGGCTTCCTTCCTTGGTAGTTAGCATTGCAATGGAGATGCTGCTGAGATGCTGGCCCAGGATTTCCCAGACATTACAGCCACTCTCTACTGTCTGCATCCAGGTGACCCAGATGGCACTAGCCTAGGGTTGCCAGCAAAACCCGGTTAGTACTTGGGTCACCTCTAGCACCTCTGCAGAGCCAGCACCCTGAAGTCCTGGCCCTGGCTATCCCGGGATGAATGCTCAACTCGCCTTTTGGATTTCTCACCTTTATTTCCCATCTCTGGGGCTCTGTGGCCCATGAGCTACTCAGGACTGGAGTGAGGCACAGCCAGCAGAGCTGGGGACTGTAGTGCTTTGGCAAGGCTCCTCCTCGCAAGCAAGCATTAGCCAGGACTTCTCTGGATCTGCTTCCAGCATTCAGCTTCACTGTGTGATGGAGTGGCAAAAAGGACCAAACCAGAAAAAGGTCTTAAAAAAAAATATAGCTATACGAACCAGAACCGATTCAGAATCTTTTTCTCCCTGTTGAATGTTTGCAAAATGCTTTACTTGCTTTTGTTCTTCTTGCCTTTCCTTGCCCAGAGAGGACACCTGGGTCTTGCACCAGAGTCAGGGGTGCTGAGTGCTGGTGTGGAGCAGTGAAGTGAGAGACCGCTGTGTAAGCAGGTGGGACAAATGTGGGGTCACAGGCAGGGGCCTGGCTTTTTGAGGACCTTTAGTGGGTTGAGGCAGCCAGATGCTGGCTGCTCACAAAGCAACATGGATTTCAGAGATTAAAAATTGACCTCTGGCTGGGTGGTGGTGGCTCACGCCTATAATCCTAGCTACTCAGGAGGCAGAGGTCAGGACTGTGGTTCAAAGCTAACACATAGTTCTCGAGATCCTATCTTGAAAAAACCCATCACAAAAAAGGGCTGGCAGTGGCTCAGGGGTAAGAACACCTGCCTAGTAAGCGTGAGGCCCTGCGTTCAGACCACAGTGCTGCCAAAAAAACCCCTCTGAAGAGATAAGTGATTCATTAATGGGAACCTCACCGGCCTCTGGCGCACTTGGAATGCCTATCCTAGCAGGGGGTGCAGAGGGCATTCAATTCTTGTACCTGAGCCTGGCTTACCTTACATGCTGAAGATTCTGTGTGTTCATCTGGAAGCAGTAGGGGTGAGAGAACTTCCCATCTGTAGCTCTGTTGCCCCGCTGCCCCAAATCTTTGTTGGAAGAAGGTATCACACGGGGACTGAGAATGTGTCAATGTGTGGTCACAAGGGCAAGTTTCTGTAGAACAAGCAAGGATTTTGCTGAAAGTTTGCAGGATTTGTTTTCTTTTTCTCTTACCTCAGATTATTTGTATTACTGATTGAAGGTTTTAAAACTTGCTTCTAAACTTATTTTTCTGGTTAATTTTTGGTAACATGATATATTTAACACCCTAGTTTATATACTCCCACCTCTTCTCATATAAATCTCTAGCTAAGACTGTTGACTGAAAAGGTCAAGACACTTGCAAAAGTCCTGTGTGTACTTTTTTTTTTTTCCTCCATTCTTTTTTTTTTTTTTTCATTTTTCTTTTATTATTCATATGTGCATACAAGGCTTGGTTCATTTCTCCCCCCTGCCCCCACCCCCTCCCTCTCCCCCCCTCAATACCCAGCAGAAACTATTTTGCCCTTATTTCTAATTTTGTTGTAGAGAGAGTATAAGCATTAATAGGAAGGAACAAGGGTTTTTGCTGGTTGAGATAAGGATAGCTATACAGGGAGTTGACTCACATTGATTTCCTGTGCGTGGGTGTTACCTTCTAGGTTAATTCTTTTTGATCTAACCTTTTCTCTAGTTCCTGGTCCCCTTTTCCTATTGGCCTCAGTTGCTTTTAAGGTATCTGCTTTAGTTTCTCTGCGTTAAGGGCAACAAATGCTAGCTAGTTTTTTAGGTGTCTTACCTATCCTCACCCCTCCCTTGTGTGCTCTCGCTTTTATCATGTGCTCATAGTCCAATCCCCTTGTTGTGTTTGCCCTTGATCTAATGTCCACATATGAGGGAGAACATACGATTTTTGGTCTTTTGGCCAGGCTAACCTCACTCAGAATGATGTTCTCCAATTCCATCCATTTACCAGCGAATGATAACATTTCGTTCTTCTTCATGGCTGCATAAAATTCCATTGTGTATAGATACCACATTTTCTTAATCCATTCGTCAGTGCTGGGGCATCTTGGCTGTTTCCATAACTTGGCTATTGTGAATAGTGCCGCAATAAACATGGATGTGCAGGTGCCTCTGGAGTAACAGTCTTTTGGGTATATCCCCAAGAGTGGTATTGCTGGATCAAATGGTAGATCGATGTCCAGCTTTTTAAGTAGCCTCCAAATTTTTTTCCAGAGTGGTTGTACTAGTCTACATTCCCACCAACAGTGTAAGAGGGTTCCTTTTTCCCCGCATCCTCGCCAACACCTGTTGTTGGTGGTGTTGCTGATGATGGCTATTCTAACAGGGGTGAGGTGGAATCTTAGCGTGGTTTTAATTTGCATTTCCTTTATTGCTAGAGATGGTGAGCATTTTTTCATGTGTTTTCTGGCCATTTGAATTTCTTCTTTTGAGAAAGTTCTGTTTAGTTCACTTGCCCATTTCTTTATTGGTTCATTAGTTTTGGGAGAATTTAGTTTTTTAAGTTCCCTGTATATTCTGGTTATCAGTCCTTTGTCTGATGTATAGTTGGCAAATATTTTCTCCCACTCTGTGGGTGTTCTCTTCAGTTTAGAGACCATTTCTTTTGATGAACAGAAGCTTTTTAGTTTTATGAGGTCCCATTTATCTATGCTATCTCTTAGTTGCTGTGCTGCTGGGGTTTCATTGAGAAAGTTCTTACCTATACCTACTAACTCCAGAGTATTTCCTACTCTTTCTTGTATCAACTTAAGAGTTTGGGGTCTGATATTAAGATCCTTGATCCATTTTGAGTTAATCTTGGTATAGGGTGATATACATGGATCTAGTTTCAGTTTTTTGCAGACTGCTAACCAGTTTTCCCAGCAGTTTTTGTTGAAGAGGCTGCTATTTCTCCATCGTATATTTTTAGCTCCTTTGTCAAAGATAAGTTGCTTATAGTTGTGTGGCTTCATATCTGGATCCTCTATTCTGTTCCACTGGTCTTCATGTCTGTTTTTGTGCCAGTACCATGCTGTTTTTATTGTTATTGCTTTGTAATATAGTTTGAAGTCAGGTATTGTGATACCTCCTGCATTGTTCTTTTGACTGAGTATTGCCTTGGCTATTCGTGGCCTCTTGTGTTTCCATATAAATTTAACAGTAGATTTTTCAATCTCTTTAATGAATGTCATTGGAATTTTGATGGGAATTGCATTAAACATGTAGATTACTTTTGGGAGTATCGACATTTTTACTATGTTGATTCTACCAATCCATGAGCATGGGAGATCTCTCCACTTTCTATAGTCTTCCTCAATCTCTTTCTTCAGAAGTGTATAGTTTTCCTTGTAGAGGTCTTTCACATCTTTTGTTAGGTTTACACCTAGGTATTTGATTTTTTTTGAGGCTATTGTAAATGGAATTGTTTTCATACATTCTTTTTCAGTTTGCTCATTGTTAGTGTATAGAAATGCTAATGATTTTTCTATGTTGATTTTATATCCTGCTACCTTGCTATAGCTATTGATGATGTCTAGAAGCTTCTGAGTAGAGTTTTTTGGGTCTTTAAGGTATAGGATCATGTCATCTGCAAATAGGGATATTTTGACAGTTTCTTTACCTATTTGTATTCCTTTTATTCCTTCTTCTTGCCTAATTGCTCTGGCTAGGAATTCCAGTACTATGTTGAATAGGAGTGGAGATAGTGGGCATCCTTGTCTGGTTCCTGATTTTAGAGGGAATGGTTTTAATTTTTCTCCGTTAAGTATAATGCTGGCTGTAGGTTTGTCATATATAGCTTTTATAATGTTGAGGAACTTTCCTTCTATTCCTAGTTTTCTTAGAGCTTTTATCATGAAATGATGTTGGATCTTATCAAAGGCTTTTTCTGCATCTATTGAGATGATCAAGTGGTTTTTGTCTTTGCTTCTGTTAATGTGGTTTATTACGTTTATTGATTTTCGTATGTTGAACCACCCCTGCATCCCTGGGATGAAGCCTACTTGGTCGTGGTGAATAATCTTTTTGATGTGTTGCTGAATTCGGTTTGCCATTATTTTGTTGAGGATTTTTGCATCAATGTTCATTAAGGAGATTGGCCTATAGTTCTCCTTTTTGGAGGTGTCTTTGCCTGGTTTTGGGATAAGTGTAATACTGGCTTCATAAAATGTGTTTGGCAGTTTTCCTTCCCTTTCTATTTCATGGAACAGTTTAAGGAGGGTTGGTATCAGTTCTTCTTTAAAGGTCTGATAGAATTCAGCAGAGAATCCATCAGGTCCTGGACTTTTTTTTTGGGGAGACTCTTGATTGCTGCTTCAATTTCATTTTGTGTTATAGGTCTATTCAGGTGATTAATTTCCTCTTGGTTCAGTTTTGGATGATCATATGTATCTAGAAATCTGTCCATTTCTTTAAGATTTTCAAATTTATTTGAATATAGGTTCTCAAAGTAGTCTCTGATGATTTCCTGGACTTCCATGGTGTTTGTTGTTATCTCCCCTTTTGCATTCCTGATTCTACTAATTTGGGTTTTTTCTCTCCTCATTTTAGTCAGGTTTGCCAGGGTCTATCGATCTTGTTTATTTTTTCAAAGAACCAACTTTTTGTTTCATTAATTCTTTGTATGGTTTTTTGGTTTCTATTTCGTTGATTTCAGCTCTTATTTTTATTATTTCTCTCCTTCTATTTGTTTTGGGATTTGCTTGTTCTTGTTTTTCTAGGAGTTTGAGATGTATCATTAGGTCATTGATTTGGGATCTTTCAATCTTTTTAATATATGCACTCATGGCTATAAACTTTCCTCTCAAGACTGCCTTAGCTGTGTCCCATAGGTTCCGGTAGCTTGTGTTTTCATTTTCATTGACTTCCAGGAACTTTTTAATTTCCTCTTTTATTACATTGATGATCCACTCTTCATTAAGTAATGAGTTATTTAGTTTCCAGCTGTTTGCATGATTTTTGTCTTTTTGTTGTTGAGTTCTACTTTTACTGCATTGTGGTCAGATAGTATGCACGGTATTATTTCTACTTTCTTATATTTGCTGAGGCTTGCTTTGTGCCCTAGGATATGATCTATTTTGGAGAAGGTTCCATGGGCTGCTGAGAAGAATGTATATTGTGTAGAGGTTGGATGAAATGTTCTGTAGACATCTACTAGGTCCACTTGATCTATTGCATATTTTAGATCTTGGATTTCTTTATTGAGTTTTTGTTTGGATGACCTATCTATTGATGATAATGGAGTGTTAAAGTCTCCCACAACCACTGTGTTGGCGTTTATATATGCTTTTAGGTCTTTCAGGGTATGTTTGATGAAATTGGGTGCGTTGACATTGGGTGCATACAGATTGATGATTATTATTTCCTTTTGGTCTATTTCCCCTTTTATTAGTATGGAATGTCCTTCTTTATCTCGTTTGATCAATGTAGGTTTGAAGTCTACTTTGTCAGAGATAAGTATTGCTACTCCTGCTTGTTTTTGGGGGCCATTGGCTTGGTAAATCTTCTTCCAGCCTTTCATCCTAAGCATATGCTTATTTCTGTCGGTGAGATGAGTCTCCTGTAAGCAACAAATTGTTGGATCTTCTTTTTTGATCCATTTTGTCCAACGGTGTCTTTTGATGGGTGAATTAAGTCCATTAACATTAAGCGTTAGTACTGATAGGTATGTGGTGATTCCTGCCATTTAGTTATCTTAGTTGTTTGAAGGTTTGATTGTGTGTACCTAGCTTGATGTTACTCTCTACTGTCTTATCATGGAAGGCTTTTATTGCTCCATCTATTTTGAATGTTAGCTTTGCTGGGTAGAGTATCCTGGAGTTGAAGTTATTTTCATTCAGTGCCCGGAAGATCTCACCCCACGCTCTTCTTGCTTTTAATGTTTCTGTTGAGAAGTCTGCTGTGATTTTGATGGGTTTACCTTTGTGTGTTACTTGTTTTTTCTCTCTTACAGCCTTCAATATTCTCTCCTTAGTTTCTGAACTTGTTTTAATGATGATATGTCGTGGAGTAGTTCTATTTTGATCTGGTCTGTTTGGTGTTCTGGAGGCCTCTTGCATTTGTATGGGAATATCTTTCTCTAGATTTGGGAAATTTTCCGTTATTATTTTGTTGAACATATTACGCATTCCCTTCGCTTGCACCTCTTCTCCTTCTTCAATGCCCATGATTCTCAAGTTTCGTCTTTTGATGGAGTCAGTGAGTTCTTGCATTTTCTTTTCACAGGTCTTGAGTTGTTTAATTAATAGTTCTTCGGTTTTTCCTTTAATTACCATTTCATCTTCAAGTTCTGAGATTCTGTCTTCTGTTTGTTCTATTCTGCTGGATTGGCCTTCCGCTTTGTTTTGTAGTTCTGTTTCGTTCTTTTTTCTGAGGTTTTCCATATCCTGGCAGTTTTCTTCTTTATTGTTGTCTATTTTTGTCCTGAGTTCATTTATCCATTTATTCATTGTGTTCTCTCTTTCACTTTGGTGTTTATACAGTGCTTCTATGGTTTCCTTTATTTCTTCTTTTGCTCTTTCAAATTCTCTATTTTTGTTGTCTTGGAATTTCTTGAGTGTCTCCTGTACATTTTGGTTGACCCTATCCAGTATCATCTCTATAAAATTCTCATTGAGTACTTGTAGTATGTCTTCTTTTAAATTATTCTTGTGGGCTTCATTGGGTCCTTTGGCATAGTTTATCTTCATTTTGTTGGAGTCTGGATCTGAGTTTCTGTTCTCTTCATTCCCCTCTGGTTCCTGTGCTAATTTTTTGCTGTGGGGAAACTGGTTTCCCTGTTTTTTCTGTCTTCCCGTCATTATCCTTGGTGTTGTTACTGTCCCTGTACTGTGTGTAATTAAGTATTTTCTAGCTTGTAATAATAACAATGGTAATATTTAGAATGGAAGAGTGAGCTGAGATGGAAAGCAAGAGGTTAAAGAAAAGGGGAAAACAAATATACAGACAAGAGGGAGAAAGCAGAACAAGGTATCAGACAAGAGAGTTTCAAAGGTATAAACAGGGAGTGTTAGTGTACTAATCGACAGTAAGCTGAACAAACATTAGAGAGACAGAGAGAGGATTGAAAATCAAAGATAAAAAAATAAGTAAATGAAAGTAATATCTATATATAAAAATGAATTAAAATAAAATGGAAAATAGAAAATTAAAAAAAAAAAACAAACCCAAAAAACTTCCAAGTTTATATGCAATGCAGTTTCAGTCTTAATAATTTGGGTGTCCATCTCAATCTCCAGTCCTGGAGTTGGTGCCTCAGATGTTGTTCTGTAGTTGTCTCATCAAAGGGGATGCATAAAGTAGAACTACACACACACACACACACACACACAACAAAAAGAAAGCCCCACCAAGTGTCCCCAGTTCAAATGCAATACAGTTTCAGTAAGTTTTTCGGCTTGCAGGTGTAATTCGGTTGTTCTCTCATCAAAGGTAGGGAGAAAAAGAAAAAAAAGCGTCTGGAGGCAGTTCTGAGAGTGGTATCTGCAGCTGTGGCTTGCCTGCCTGCTGCTCTCAGCCTGTAGCTGGCGGCATTATTTATGCAGATCTCTGGGGTGAGCTAGCACTCATCTGGTCCCACAGGCTTTGTTTGCTCAGAGTTCTCCTGTGCGGGAGCCTCTGCTACAGGCTTTCCCCTTTCCAAGCACTGGGAAAGGTGACACTGCCCGCTTTGTAAGGCCTGCGTGTTTATTTACAGTTCATGTGGGAGGTGGGTCTTCCCCCCTCTCCTCTGAAGTTTTCCTCCCACTGCCACTTTTAGAAGCTTTCCTGCTCCTGCTGGCCACCATGTTTATTTACAGTTCATGTGGGAAGTGGGTCTTCCCTCCTCTCACAAGCTTCCCCACTCCTGGTTGCTGGGCACGCGCCCCGCTCCCGCCAGAGGCTCTCCGGCCTGCCCGGCTTGTTTATTTACAGTCCCGGGAAGGGTTCCCTTTCCCCAATCTTCAGCACTCAGGGCGCCCCACTCTCTTTCCAGCGTGTCTTAATTGTTCTTATTGCTTATTACTCAGTTTCTCTTTTTTTCCCGGGTGGAGGTCAGTCTGTCCAGGGGGCTATGCTGCTCTGGCCCAGGCTTGTCTGTGGGGCTACCGCGGTACCGCGAAGCTCACCTGGTCCGTGTCTTCCCAAGCCGAATGGGCGCCGGCCACTGGCGGCCCCGGGGGCCCTCCTTATTTCTCCGTTTAACGTGAAGTGGAGATTCTCTGCACCGGCTGGAGATGTGGAGGGGTCAAAGTTATGCCTTTTCTCGGTGATTATGCCTGCAAAGTGTGTCTCCAGCGTCTCTCCAAGATTTCACTATAGGAGGGTCGCTTTCTGCTTCCTACCTCTAGCCGCCATCTTGGAATTCCCCCGTGTGTACTTTTAAAAAATATGGCTTATAGGCATCTCCTGAGCTTGGCAGAATTTCCCCTGGGAGCATGGTGGCAATTGCTACAGTGGCCCAGTTCAAGCTGAGTGCTTTCCATAAGCTCAGCAGTCCTTGGATGGTAAACAACAACCAGGTTATTTATTAGGTTAGCCCAAAAAAAAAGAGGAGAGGGATTTCAGATCAGTCATTGTCACACTTAAGCTCCAGGGCACTGTGGTCACTGTTAAGGCAAGCCACTGTAGGAATCCGAATGGACTTTCAGTCACAAGATGACATTATTTCCTCCCATACTGGAGAAGCCATACACCATACCTGACCGAAGAGTCTGTATCCATACATCCCACTTCGAAAATAGTCAAGAGGCATGGCTCAGTGGTAGAATGCCTTGCTTAGCAAGCATGAGACCCCAAGTTCACAACACAAAGCTGCCAAAAACACCTCAAAAGCATCATTTTCTTGTCATTCCCTAAATAATACAGTATAATAATTAAGTACAGTTTATGTTGTGTTAGGCATTATAGGTAATCTAGAAACGATTGAATACAGGAGAAAAACCAATAAAGTGTAAGAGGATAAAAAGGTATCCTATGCCATTTTACATGAGGGATTTCATGGATTTTTGTATTTGTAGGAGTCCTGGAGCCAACTGTCTGCAGATACCAGGGGGCAACAAGTAATTCTGTAGTAAAATGCAAAGTGAAGTCAAACATTGGTTTAGATGGGTGGTTCTCAAACTTCAGTATGCATCACAATCATCTGAAGGCCTTGTTTACCCCAGGCTGGGTCCCTCCCACTCCTCAGTAGGCCTGGAGAGGCTGGAGTATTTGTCTCTCAAAGTCCCAAGTAGCCCTGAGGTTGTTGGTCTAGACAGTAAAAGGACTACTCGCTGCCTTTGCTTCCATAGGCCAGGAGGAAGAGGCTTTCCTCGTTGGGACCATGCTAAATTTCTATTAAGGTTCCCAGTTACTGCCCAGCCCTAGTGTAGCATCTTCTCTGCAAGGCACAAGTGCCCTAGGGCAGTGCTGTAGTTCATATCCTAACACATTTCTTAAAACCCTGGAGGGGCGAGGAGTGTAACTCAGTGGCAGGGTGTGTATGAGCATATGTGAGGCAAGGCCCTGGGCTCAGTTCCTACACCAAAAACAAACCCCAACGTGATGATTCCCAGGCATCTGAAAATAAGATGTGACTGGGATGAGGAGGGGAGAGCCATGTTTCACTTGGTGTGTTTACTTTGGTTACAAAGGTGGATCTGAGAATCCTTTTTCCCAAATACCCTCTTCCAGGCCCAGATAATCTGGACCTTCCTTATCTCAGAAACCTTTTCCCTAAGAAATGTTACATGCACGTACAAGCAAGATTTGCAAGCGTGTCACTGATGCACCTCTCCTTCCAACTCAGTGCACGTTGTCAGAGATGGAGTCTTGACAATTATAATCCAGAAGTAGACCACTTTGGGTCTGAGAGAAGTTCTGAGCCTAATCAGACACCTCGACCCAAAGGATCACAAATGCTACATAGTCCAGCAGGGATCCTAAACATTCCTCTTATAAATGAAAGGAAACTGCCCTGGAGATGTAACTTCCCAGCAGACACTGCTCTCTGCACGGTACACATCGGCCTCATAAAGCAGCAGCTCATTTTACAATGTACACTCAAGCCAACGTTAAAGAAACCAAGTTTATTAAAAAAAAAAAACAAAACCCTCTTAATGTTCTGCTCTGTGCTTGCACCCTGGACAGACTCGGGGTCTGAAGAGTACCTACACAGAGGTGGAGGTCCATGGCAATGCCAGGATTCAGTCAGGTAAGTCCTGCCATACCTGTTGTGCATCTGTGAGGACACAGCAGTCCAGCTCTGGTGGTAAGAAAATATAGACTCCCAAGATCCATGTTTTGTTAGCTTTCCTCACGAGCTAAGCAGAAGTCTTTTGTCTACCATGATTTCCCAGAATACCCAGTCTCAAGAGGTGCTGAGCTGGCAGCAAGTGAGGCTTGAGTCCCATCAACCAGCCCCACTCATCATTTCATTAGCATCCAAGTGCAAAATGCCAGCTGCCCTGCTCCAGCCCTGGAGTCTCTCGGACTAGGGGGCAAGCCTGCAGTCTGTGGGATGCTTCCTTCACCCTTGAGCAGGAAGTCGGCAGACCTGGCCACTCCCTCCTCAGCAAGGTCGCTTGCAGTGTACTCTTGGACCACCTCCTGAGGTGTAGGCAAGGTTCTAGTGAAATGCCCAAGAAAGGGCTACTTCCCAGCCCTAGCTCTGGGCCAGCACTGTCCCCCTGCTTGGTTGCACCAGTTCACAAGCTCTCAGCTGGGGTTCTGGCAGGTGGGGCTCAGCTAGAAATAGGTGAAACAGTGTTGCCAGTTCTTCAGAGAAATCCTGGAATAAGGCAGGTATTAATTCTGGATGGTCCATCCTTTCTAGGTCAGTCTCAAACATCAAGCCCTACCTAATAAGTGAGCAGAGAAATGACCTAACTATATTATTTCCCGCCCCCATCCCAAAAGGCCCTTTATGCTGAGATGAACATGAAACTTTGTCTTTACTAGTATTAAGGTCCAGAAGGGAGAATTAATTCTGATGGTAAACTCAGGTTTTACCATCTGTTGAAATATTTTATGTAAAAATGTAGGAACTACTTAAGTTCTAGCTAATTTTAAAAATCCCATAATCACTGTGCCATGTGGCTCTCCAACTGCTTGCCTTCTCCCTTTCTCAAGAGTCCCTCATAACAGTAGACACTCAGATCTGATGGCAGCCATGTCTCAAAATAAAATCCACTTAGCTTTGGCCCTGTCACAGGAAAAATGGGACCTGTTCTCCCACTTTGTAATACAAGGGGAGAGGAGTCCTTACCCCTGGCCACTGGGCCTCATGGAGGCTGCCTAAGCAGGCTTCTATCTCCATCCGTCCCATGAGACCCTTCTCTACCAGCTCCCGGAGCAAGAACAGCAGCAGGTCCCACTGCAAAACATACCACAGAGAAGGCCAAGCCTGAGAGGAATGCAGTGACCCTGACTAGGACAGAGATGGTGATGGACATTAACAGACTGCAGAAGGATCAGAACCTTCCTGATGCCCATTTGACTCACCTCCCTCGGCCGAGTGTCTGCCAGAAGCCCCACATTTCTCGGGCTCAGCAGCAGCTGGAGTGGAACCGGCCCTTGGAAGTCATCTTTCCACAGGGAAAGCAGCATGTGCAGAAGCCTTCGGGCCTGTCCTCGCTCCAGCCTGTGCTGTGCTGGGGGCCCTAGGATGGGAATCTGGTCTGCAACTATGGGAGAAGGAAGTCAAGTTTTAAAGAGGCAGAAGAGGGCTAAACTTTTTAATCGTATCCAACCCTAGGGTTTGAGGGATGTGGCAGAGAGGGATTTAATAGGAAGGAACCATACCCAGGAGGGAAGCTAAGTCCACAGAGCACTTTGCCAGATGCTGCTCAGCAGGTGGGCACAGGAACTGTGCAGGAGAAGAGAGACACGATTACCATCCTGTTCTAAGGACAGGCCCTGGGCCAGTGTGATTCTGCTTGTGAGGCAACAGGGCACAGAAAAACATGCAGCACATGCTATAGCTCACCTGGCGGCACTGCAGTGACTGGCTCAGCTGGCCAAGGAGCTGCTCCAGATGCTCTGGGGAAACTCCCTCCTCGGGGTCCCGAGGCCCAACAGCCAGGGAGAGCACATCCTGCAGAGAGCAGGGGGACCTCATGCCAGGCTGGGGCTAAACTACCAGCCAGTGACAGGCAGAACGGAAATAGGACCCCTAGGGGCAAAGCAACTGGACCAAGGTGTCTCTAGAGCTGGGGTTCAGGCAGGACAGGATAGCTAGGATAAGCAACCATGTGGACAACCCAAGAAAAAACAGATGGCCCAGGTAACTGAAGGGCTGTGTGCTGCTAGAGCTCAACATGTCACCTTGCCAACACTGAATTCCTAGCGGTCATCTTAAAGCACTCGGGAAACTGTCCTGACATATACCCAGTCTGAACATTTCCTGTCCCTCATGCCTTGCTCATCTCAGGGAGCTGAGGTTTCAATGCGGGAACCCTTTCCTCTCCCACGTGTTTATCCCTAGACCAAGGCCAGACAGCAGATAGAGTATGCTTTGTGAGCCATTAGGCCTCTCTGTTCCAAGTACTGGACTCTGCTGTTGCACAAAAAAAGCCCAAGACAATCTGTGAGCAAATACATGTGGCCATGTTTAATAAAACTTTACAAAAAAGCCTAAGCTCAATTTGGCCCATTGGCTATTCACCCTAGAAAAGTCAATCTTTAAAAGAGAACTAGTATTTTCTTAGTGCTTCTAATCTCCTACATGGAAGAATATTACAGAAATATTTCCTACTACACTTTATAGTCATTGACCACCATCTTGTGTAATACGTAGTCAACTGTAGAACCCCTTTTGGGTGATTCTAGATTAAAAATATTAGGAAAATCATTTCAGCTCTGTCGCACTAATCCTACTCAGGAGCGAATGAAACAGACTAGCCAGACAACACAGAAAGCTTCTACACAGAAATCCTGGAGCTGATGTGAGAAGGAAAGGAATGGACAGCAAGGAATGGGGAAGCCAAAGGGAGTAGGGTAGCTGTGTACTTTTATCTCGGAGATGAGGTGGGAGGGGAGGGGAGCGTGGTGCTCACAGGCGCGGGGGCAGCCCCTCCGCTCCACCCGGGCAGTCGGCTCAGGACCCTGGGCTCGAAGCGTGCGACTCACAGCTGCTTTCACCTCCCTCCTGATCAGCGCTGCGGGGCAGAGGGAGGAGAGCAATGGGTCACTGGCATGCCACGCCCCCCCACCTTTTAAAATATGATTTACCCACTCTTTCCTGGATCTCACCTGTAATGTTGGCAGACAACCAAGCACAGGCTTTCTCTGTCGCAAGCCCCACAGCAATATGCTCTGCAGTGCTTAGAACCTGTGACAGACAAGGGCTGAAGAGTCAGTGATGGGGCACAAGGTGTACAAGGATGGACACCAGAGTCCACGACTGACCCCCACCCTACAGCCTCACACAGCTGGACGTGTACACACACGACCATCAGCCTGTTAGTTCCAGGCCAACTACGTACAGCTGCTGGGGTCTCCTCTGGAAGCAGTGCCCGAACAGCCCCAGGGCTCTTCCTTTGGCAGAACCTGAAAAGAGGCAGAGGGCAGTAAGGCCCAGATACAACGTCCTGAGTGCGCAGTCTCCTGACCTGGAGGCTCTACCTCAGAGGGAACTGCTCTCTCTCCTCCTGCCCCACCGCAGATGCCTGAAGGAGGAGAAACCCACTCCCATTTGGACTTTGGGCACAAAGATGAAAGCCTACAGAGAAGGGGAAAACACAAAATAGGGAAGGGGGACAGAGGACAGAAAAACAAAAGCCAAGAGAGTGGAGGAGAAAAGAAGGTCCAAATAGATTGGCAGTTCTTACTCCCGCCCCTGGGTCAGTGCCTGGGCCCCATGGGGACACAGCTGGGAACACAAGCTCTCCAATAGCTGGGCTGAGTCTCCTCCTTCCTGGACACGCATCACCAACCGCTCTTGGAGAAGTGACTCTGCCTGTTGCACCAAGTCCGCAACCAGCGTTGCCCTGCAGCAGAGATGGCAAGGTTGGAGGCTGGAAGGGCTAGATAGCAAAGGGGCTGCAAATTCAAGGCAATCTGATCAGAACGTCTAAGGATGTAAGCCATTTCAGCCTCCCCTCTCCTCCCACTGGCTTTCCTCAGTTTGGTAACAAGCGTTCAGAGTTTTAAAAGGGGGAAAATAGATGGAGACGAGGACCCTCAGCCCACTCTTACTTGATGTGTTTGACACAGTTTGACCCAATCCTCTCTGCTACAAACTCCACAGTCCTGCGCAGGGAGGGCGGCTGGTTGTGGAAAAAGGCCTGGGCAAGCTGTGCCTAGGGGTCGGGAGCAGCACTATGAAGCTTCCTTCCACTCCCCCTCTCCCCCAGGTAGCCTCTGCCTTCCCCCGTATTTACCTGCAGTCCCTGGCTGGTCTGGGGGGGCTGGGCTCCCAGGCCGGTGGTAGTGGTGGGGGTAATTTTCCTCACAAAGCCCCCACTCCGTCCACTGCTGCCTGAGACCCATGAAGCAAGCAGTTTCCGGAGCTCTCCTACATCAGGGAAGTCTCGATTGTTAGTTCCAGAACCCCCCCACTCCCCCAGAAGCACCCTGGACTTTTAAGTACTTGTGAATAAAGAGGCTGGGGCACTTGGGGAGTCCTAAGGAACAGAGCAACATCCTGAGGAGTCACACCTGGGACCGCTAGGGGACGGGATGCTCACCAATGTAGGGGCAGCAGGTATAGAGCAGCTGCTGGTCCACCACAGGCACACTGTCCTGGGGGAGAACAGGCCAGTGTCAGGAGGGCAGCAGGCAGGAAGGCTTCCCTTCCTCCCCGGCTTGCCCAAAAATGAGACAGACAAGATCATTAGGTAAGGGTTAGATCCTCCCTGGCTTTTCCCCTGCTAGGCCTTCCTGTTCAACTCACTTAATTTCTGGGGGATCCCATGGCTCTGATTGAACCCCAACACTTACCAAGCCATGTTCTGAAGCTGCCGTGTCCACCTCAAAGGCATTCACCTGACTCTCTTCCTGAAAGAACAAGTCCTCGGGGACTGGGGGAATCTGGCCAGAGAGGAAGGCAGGCAGAGCTCTATCCAGCACTTCTAAGACTCACCACACCTTCCAACCTCTGGGGCCAGAATTGAGGGCCCAGGGTCAATCTGTCTTCCTCTGAAGCGAAGGCAATGCCCATCCCTCTTGGATTACTCTTCTGGCCCCTACCTCAAGTTGACACCAACCTTCTCCCACTCCCTGGCTCTACCACAGTAGCCACACACAACCACTCCCCCACACCCCCAATCTGGACCATCATTCTGCCCACCTGAAAAAGCCAGCCCAGAACAGCAAGCAGGAGCAGCTTGTTCAGAAAACACATCTCCCCTTCACTCTCCTGTGACAAAGCTAAGCTCCTAAAAGGTAAATGGAAGGTGTGAACAGAGTTGGTGTGCAGGGATGGACACGAAAGCCATCACCAGGAAGGTGGTTCTCAAAAGCAGACCTACATGACATTGCACTCATGTAGACAACCAGGGTCAACTTAGTGTCCCCTGCACATCTATATTCCATATTCCCTTTCAGGTGGACATAGGAGACAGAAAAGGACCAAGGGAAGGACTAACAACTGCCCACAGTCTCTCTGTGTGTGTGACAAATCCTGCCTTTCTCCAAGGGTCAGCTATTACTGTGGAACCACATACAAGTTCAGACAGCTAGGACCTCTTTCCAAACAGCAGGCCTGAGCAAACCTTGGCCTTACTCTACTCACCGATGTAGCTGCAGCAGGAGAGTAAAGATGCTCCGGTAATAATCCAGCAAGGGGACAATGTGGTCAGCGAAGGAAAGGAACTCTACCAGCCAGGGCACAGTGAGCACTGCCCGCCGGGCTTGTAGCCCCTGCTGTAGCAGAGCTCGCACATCCAGGACGGGAGGGACCTGGGAGGGGCAGGGGGCTCAGTCACTGGGTGGGCCTGACAGGGCCTGGGTCATGCTTTCTAACCTGACAGGTTTCCTGAGTAGCCAGCCTTGCTGGTCCTCCCAACTTCCTCCCTCCTTACCAGATCTCTCACCTGGCTCCTGAGGGCCAGAATGGAGTCCTGCAGCTCACGGGTTGGGGGTGGTTCAGGGCCCCGGTATGGCAGGAAAGCCACAAAGCCCAGAAATTTAGCCAAAAGTCTTAGGCTAAGAAGCACCACAGCAAATTGCCTCCGTTCACCCTGCATGGAATCAAAGGAAGTAAAAGGTCCCAAGCATAAGGCTTCTAGAACAATTCTGAATCTGTTCTCTGAACACATACACTCCCTCCAAGGCCAGACCCCATTGTTTCTCATTCTGTTTCTGACCTGCCAGTCCACATCGGACTCCCCATCTTCATCACCAGCCTCATGCTGAGGCAGGGCAAGGCCATTGAGCTCACGGACCTTTAAGCTTAGACTGTCCATGAGATGCTGATTAAACTGGAAGCTGGGGGTAGGCAAAAAAACAAAATAAAAATAAGAACATATTAGAAGAGGTGTAGGAAGATCCAGAATCAAGAAGACAGAAAGGATTCACAAGGTAGACCCTGTATGGGTAAAAGAATGACAAGTGAAATGGAGCCAGAAAGTGTGAACTGGAAGGAGCCGCAAATTGCTTAGAGCCACCCTGAATACTCCGGGAAAAGGAGAGAACGATTTGTCCTTTTGGGAAGCCCAAAGGACAAATCCCTATGAGACACAGGGGACCTTTACCTGTTGGCACTCAGGATGAAGTCCCTGAAGAAGCCTTGACAGCCTGGGAAGGTGGGGGGTGGGCAGGGCCCCCCACTGCTCTGAGGGGCCACAAGCCGTTCCTGTAGCTGCCGCAACCGTCCCAGCTTGTCAGCTCCCAGCATATTCAACACATCTGGGGCCTCACCCAAGACAGTACCTCCGGCACCACCAGGGCTCTGACACATCTGTGGCAGCGGGAGAAAGGAGAAAAATGAAAAAACAGTAAGAGAGAACAAAACAAGGAGAAAGTGAGCTATAGGGCAGGGTAAAGTGTTTGCCTAGCATGAGCAAGGCCCTAGGTTCAATCCCCAGATTGCAAAGAAAAAAAAAGGAATGAGACTCTATGAAGAAGGGATTATTCTCTTGTTCTAAAGGAAGAAACTAAAATGGCAAGGCTAGCAATTGCTGAGGGTCACTAAAATTTGAAAAAGAGGCCTGACTACTAAGTCTGTCCTCTCTCTACCACAGCTCAAGGTGAAGTTAATGTGGTAACAGGCTGGGTGAGAGCACTGGGTGTAAGGCATGACAGGGAGTACCCCATTTTTTTTCTCGCTCACTCAAGTTTCAACTACTACCCAAGGACTCCTGTTCAAACGCCAGTCAGGACCCACCAGCTGTCCACCCTGTCCAGAGCACCAGCCCTTATTCGGTTACTTGCAATACCTGCTGATCACTAGATGTTAACTGCCTGCTGTTACCTGGAGAAGCTGTTTCTGGAAAAGTCTAACAAAGTGGCTGTGGCTGCAGGCTGCTGAGAGTTGACCCATCATGGCTCTGAGGAACACGAGGCAGGTAGAGTGTGTGGGAAGAAAGAGAGGGAGAAAGATCAGGGAGATCTTTTAGCCACTGACCAAAGACTTGAAGCATCTCTCTGCCAGAGCTGGCCCACACAGGGGTAGGGGAGAAAGTAAAGGACCTTCCTCTCAGCACCGAGATCCCTTTATACCAGATATACTTAATCAAATGAGAAATGTACTCTCTTTAGACCATAATGAGTGCCAGTGAGCTTCATGACCAATGGGAAAGGGAGGTGAGGGGCTTGGTCACCCACCTATGCAAAGTTACCAGACTCACCCAAACAAGACAATGGGGAAAACAGAAGTTGGAGGAGTTGAACCAGTGACCCGGGCCAAAATTCAAGTAACCCGGATCAAGAGCTTTACACTTGCCCAAGCATCTGCCATTGTAGAACAAGTAGGAGGCACTTCTGAGTGCAAGGAGCTGGAGAGACAAATCCCTTTTGTGTCCAGGCAGAGCTGTCAATAATTAGAGACTGAGGAAGGTGAAGAAAATAGCTTTGGGCTGGAAGGAGTTGGGGAAAGCCTTCCTCTAGCTCCTTAAGCATCACTGAGCTGCTGTGTCAGAAGCAGGAAGACAAAGTGAGCCAGGGGCTGAGCACCCACCTGATCCTGCTGCCTAAGCCCTTCTCAAAATCCCAGCCGGGCTCCTCATGGCGATCTTCCCACTCTCGAAGCACCTCGTAGAACACATCCCTGACAGACACACAAGAATGCCTGATCAGCTGAGCCATAGCTACCTTTCATTCACTTCCAGCGGCACCTTCCCTTACTGGAAGGCTGAGGACAGTCTTATCCTCAGCCCTATTACTCCAAAGTTCTCCACAGGATGGTAACATTACAAATGCAGCAGAAGCATGCCACAGGCCTCATGGACTTCTGTGGGCTGTGAAAGTTGATCTTGATGCACTTGTCTGAGAACCCCAAGACCACAGGCATATACCCGAGAGAACTGGCTAAGCTCAGGCCTTTGAGTCTACGGGCAGCCTTAGATAACTGGCAGGAAGGGCCTGATGACACTAACCCACTACTTGTTAGAGCCAGACTCCTCATTTCTATAAAAACCAAACGGCTGCCTATCCCCTCCCCAACATCCCTTTTCTTTTCACCTCTGTTTTTTAAAAGTATGAAAGGCTCGGTCACTGGAGAAGTTGGCACGATTGTCAGTTTCTGGCTGAAAAGAGACAGCTTGAGCAGAGGATGGCATCACCAGAGAGACCTAAAATATGGCAGTGACATTAGGAACCAAAGCCTGCAGATGTCACGCTCAGAAGGCTTTACCCCCTTAATCCTGCCCAGAGTCAGCCCATATGAAAGGTGTGTGTCATGAGCAGGTTGTCTGAATTTAAGAATGCTAGGAAGAACCAGGTCTGGATTAGTAGGCCTCTAGTTTATGTTCACTACCTTGGCAACACTGCCCTCATAGGCAGCTCGAAGGCGGCCTTGCAGAGCTGGTGAGAAGCACAGCAGCCGTTCATTCTCAGCCAGCAGCTTTAAGGTCCCTTTGTCCAAGAAGGAAAGAACCCTGCAAGGACAAGAGCACATATGACTGAGACTGGAACACAGACTACAAGCAGGAAGCAGGCACCTGCCCACCACACAAAGCATATCTGGAGCATGGAGGTACACAAGCCCAGGTATGTCCAGCAAGGCCATGGGCCTTGATCAAGATGATGGAGGCAAAAGTGAGGGAAGGAGACCTTAAACAGCAGGGAGCAAGGCAGGCCAGGAATATTAGCCACAAACCAAAAGTCAGCTGCCAGGTCTATTCGATTCTTTTAGGGGATAAATTCATAGCCTTGACACAAAAATTAAAAGTCTAGGGTCAATACACCTGTGTTAAGCACAAGCATGCATCCCAAGTACCAGAGAGCCAGACAGACAATGAGAATAAGGTCCAGAAGCTTCTGTCAGGGAAACTCACTCATACTGACGCTCCAAAACCTGTACTGCAAAGAAGACACAATCGTGGATGCTCTGGAACAGTGGGCTTTCCAAGGAATCTAGAAGGACAGTGACAAGCTATCAGTTAGGAATTGTCCTATCTATAGATCCCATTCTCAAAACAAGGCTTGCTCACTGACCCAGGGCACCTGGACTTGATTCGAGGTCACTGTCCTTGGCAGCCACCATCCTCCGGGCAGTAAGGAGCTGAAGGACGAAGAAAAGCTCCAAGAAAAGGTTTGGTACCAGGTTCTCTGGATAGTAAAAGAAATCCCATGGCAATGGGCACCACGCGTGCCTCACTGATGAGCCTTAGCTCCCCTGCAGCACCCTTCTCTCACTCACCAGAAATACACGAGGAGTAGACAAGGGCTACCAGCTCCAGGCGCTGGCGGGAAGACACTCTGGCAGGGTCAGCGAGTTCTGCTGTGAGGTTTCCAGTCCGGCTGGGGACAGGAGACCCTGATTCTGGGGTGGGACAGGCAGGAGCAGGTGACTGCTGCAGCTGCTTAGAGCTATGGGGGTAGAGAGATGTCATGAGCAGCCAGTCTGGCCTCCCAGCCACGTTCACATTCAGGTTTCCTCCAAAGAAGACATCAATAGCCCAGGAAGCAAACCCAGAGTCCCCCAGGGAAAAATCAATTTCAGGAAAAAGCCCTGAAGGTCCCCCACAGGGAGGAAGCTGACATCCCAGGGAGCGGCAAGGCCATACCGCTCCTTCCTCAGCATCTCCCGCTCCTCTTGCAGACTTCTGCACCCTGGGGGAAGGCCAAGGCCCCAAGGGCTAGTGTCCAGGGCTGAGGGTTGGGAACTGGGGACACAGCTGATTGGGGGTGAGGTGAAGCAGGTCTTGGGCTTGGAGAGTGACCGCTCTTCGCTCACCGGAGTTGGGTTGATCCTGCGAGAAGGCTTCGTCCTGCTGAGAGTAGCCACAGGTGGTTCTCAAATCTCTATCTTCAAACATCACTCCCTCCATCACTATCATCACCACCACCACCACCACAGCTGGGCCCCTTTGCAAAAACAAAACAAAACAAAACAAAAACAAAACAAAAAACCAAAAAACCCTGGCCCTTACAGTCACCTCACCTGACCCCAACCTTCTAAGCATTCCTGCACTCTGCTGCGGGGCGCAGCCCTGACTTAGTGACTCCCCGAGCAGAGTCTCCGTGCCACCCATCTCCTGGGCAGGGCTGACTCTCACCCTGCAGGGCCGGGTGGAACCGAGCCTACGGGAGGGAACTCCTCCAGGTTGCTGAGGTTTGGTGGATCGGAGCGCGCGAGGCTGGGGCTGCTGGGGCTGCCGGGGCTGCCAGAGCCCCGAGGCCTGCGGCCCCCAGCCCAGGGCAGACTCTCCCCGCCGGGCCCGTCCTCGGGGCCCCCGGGGCCGCGGCCTCCTCGCTCGCGGGCCGGCCCCGATCCCCGCCTCCGGCCCCCGCGGCGGGCCAGGGGGGCCTCGGCGGTGGCACTAAGGGGCTCGGTGGCGGGGAAGAGCTGGCTGCGCGCCCCGCGGCCGCCCCGCGGCCTCCCTGGCAGGGCTGCCGAGGCGCCCGGAGCCTTGGCGGGAGTTGGGGGGCCCTGCGGGAGGACGCGGCTGCTCTGCTCCCTCAGGAAGTTCAGCAGGAACGGCACGAAGTCCTTCCGCAGCGGTCCGAGCGAGCTCAGCACGGCCGCCTCCCCGGGGCTGTCCTGAGGGCGAAGCAGAGGGCGAGGGGTCAGCTGCCTGCCCAGGCCGCGAGCAGCCGGGGCCGCCGGGCGCGCCGCGGGTGGGAGGGCGGCCAAGCGGCCGGCGGGGCAGCGGCGCCCAGGTGGAGCGCCCTCGGCCCGGGCTGGGGCCGGACGGCCGGTATGTCCCGCGGAAGGCCCATTCCGGCCAGGCCAGGGGCGTGTCGGCGCTGTTACCTCCGAACTCCGGGTGCCGCGCGCGATCCACCGCACGGCGGCTGCGACCGACACCTCCTCTCGCAGCAGCGACTCCAAAACGGCCGCCATCCCGGTCCGGGCGTTCTGAGGCGACTGCGCAAGCGCCGGCGCGCCACGGGCGGCCCGGGAGGGGCGGGGCCGGCGACGAGGAGCGACCGTTGGGCAGGGGGCGGGGCCGGAGGCGGGGCCGGGCGGGCTTTGACTCAGGCCTGAGGTCAAGGCCTCACTGGCTCTGGCACCGCCCCGCCCGCCCGGCCCCGGGTGAGGCCTGGCCGGGGAGTGACCGGCAGGGACTCTTAAGACTGGGACCGCTGCAGTTCTAGTGAGACCTGGGGACCGGGAGGGCAGCCAGACAGCTAAGGAGCAAAGATGAACGATTTCTCCTAAAAAAGGCTGGTGTAGTGGCTCAAGTGGTAGAGCACCAGCTTAGCAAGAGTGAGGACCCGACTTCAAACCCCAGGACACCAAAAAAAACAATTAAAAAATGCCAGCCTGTCTTCTGCCATAAGCACCATCCCCAAGTTAGTTTTCTAGACTCACCTCCCAACCCAGAAGAAGTTAAGAAGTTAGCCTAACCTCTCATTTTCACTCCTAGCCAAGCCTTCCCCGCAATGTCCATCAACTGACCTTCTAAGACAAAATTCTGACTTACAGGCTTTTTATAGTCCCCAGCCACCACCCTTAAAGGGCCTCAGGCGACCCTGCTCAGGAATGGTTTAGTCTGTATTTACTCCTTTACACACTGAATTGATAAGTTTAAGTCAGGTTAGTATTTCAACTACTTGCAATTGAGATGTCAATAGGCATATTCATGATTAGCTTTTGGGAGATTGTGTTTCTTAGTATTTTTTTTTTGGCATGGTGCTGGGGCCCCAACTCGGCTTCACACGCTGTGCACTTCCTTTCCTAGTGATCTACACCTCCAGCCTCTGCCTTATTTTGAAAAGTCTGTGAGCATTTGGTATGATGCTCCTCAGTGAGAAATAAACGAAATCCAGGCTGAGAAAAGCAGATGGCAGGTCAAAGCAAAGCAGGAATAAATTTCTCCAGGGTTCCGCTGGCTCAATGGGAGATCACAAGGGGGACAGGACAGGGTAGTAACCAGGAGTGCTCCCTATAGAGAAGAAACTGTACCTCCATCAGAGAGAAGAAGGGAGAAAGAATATGATGATTGAGCTGGGCACTGTGGCTCACGACTGTAATCCTAGCTACTCAGGAGGCAGAGATCAGGAAGATCGTGGTTCGAAGCCAAGCGAGGCAAATTGTTCGGGAGACCATATTTCGAAAAAACCCTTCACAAAAAAGGGCTAGTGGAGTGATTGAAGGTGTAGGGTCTGAGTTCAAGCCCCAGTGGTGGTGGGGGAATAAAAAAGATGACTGAAAGCTTTTAAGGCTTAATTTTGTGCTGTGCATGGTGGTCCACGCCTATAATCCCAGCACTCAGAGGCTGAGGATCCAGAGTTTGAGGCCAGCCTGGACTATATAGTGAGACCCTGTCTCAAAAAAAATAAAACAAACACTTTTTATTTTGTCCCAGGGGAACCATCTCCTCAGATCCTGGACCCTAGTTTTTACCTGCTGCGACCCTGTACACCTAGTTTGTATTCAGTCCAGGGCTTCTTTTTCTAGGCTAGTTTCCAGTCACTTTTTCTAGTTTGTTGTATGTATAGTTAACACTTTCCACTCCTAGTGAATCTTGTAACCTCTAGTGAATTAAAAACTTCATTAAATTAAAAAATATTTCCCACTTTTGAAATCCAAATCATCACACAAATAGAACCACAGTTTGCATGCGGAATGTTTATTACTAGGTTATAAAAATAAAATATAAATTTTAAAACAGAACTTAAAACACTGTACAAAGCTTTAATATGGTACAAATGGGAAAATTAAATAAATAAATACACTTTTATGTACAGATGGCCTATACAAAACACTCCATGTTTCTGCCAATACTCTATGCCCTTGGTTGCCTGAGCAAAAACACAGAGGGAGCTGCTTTGAGGAGAAGGGACACAGCGCAACACCTTTGGGAGTGTTTCAAAGAGCAGTTTCTCATTAAGAGGAAAGAGCGGGAAAGCAAAAGTGGAATTATTAGTCATCCCACTCACTGATCTTCAACAAGAGGGAATTCTGGTTGTGGTTGCGAGTGTTGTAACAACAGCTCGTAACTTTCCACATTTATATCTAATTCAAAATTAGATGCCCTTCCCCTCTTTTCCTAAAAGCTGGAAACTTTTAAGTAAATGGTCCAATGAAATAGTTGGGGTAGGGAAAGGTCAGGAACTGTGTATGGGAGAAGTGAGGTGGGCTCGAGCCTGCTTCCTTTACTCCATCTATTCAATCACAAAGCCCCAATTAGTGCTTTATTAATTTTATCTTAAAGGAAGATACATTTCCTTTATCTTCCTATTTTTGAATTTCTGAAAGCTTTTTAACTTAGTGAACTAATTTTACTATTTAGTAAATAATTTAATAAGAAAATTGTTTTGGAAAAAGTACCAAGGCTTTTCCCTCCATGGGAAGCTCCCTAAAATAAATCACAGTCAAGCTCTGGTAGTCTTGTTTTACCCCTTGTAGGTGAGCGAAGAACACCTGGACAGAATTCAGGTACAGTCAAGTGCTGCAAATGAATTTTCAACAATTTAAACTGTATCATAAAAGGAAAAAAATCACATGGTAAGTTTTACTCAATGGTTTAAATAGGTGAGTGAACACTTACACAATATGAAACCATATTAAACTACTAAAGGGAGGTAAATTTTCCATTCATCCTTACTGTAAAATTGTATCATGAGCAAATTCTATGGTTCCATGGGCTCAAAGATCTGCCACATCTTGTTCTTGACCTAGAACCCCTGGGACCATAGTATCTGGGAGACAAGATCAGCATCAACAGTATACAAAGTGTGTCTATATCGTCACTTCCCATTAAAGAGGAGACAGATACCTGTTAAGTTGCAGGGCAATGAAAGGTTTGCTGCATGTCTTCTTAAGACCAAGGGTCCAGCAAAGTGTAAGGAAATAGTCAAACCATTCTGAGTAAATCTTACTTCTTTGCTATTCAGTGTCTTGAGACTGTGTGGAACCTCAAGATGATCTTGTCACATACTTTAATTTTCTGATTCAAATTTGCTCAAGGGGAATAGCTAAGCAGCAAGTTTGCATTATTTTAAAAGTAGTGGTACAAAATCACAACTGAATTAGAAAAGGTCCTGATGAGCCATATCCAGTCAGGGATTTCTCAGAGACAGAGGTGTGCAGAATCCAGATTCCCCACTAAGTGCATGGGATCCTCGTCTCACTCGGTGGCGTCATCTAGGAAGTATAGGAATTCCTCATATACCTCCTGCAGCTCTTGTTAGCAATGCTGGGTAACAGATTCTTAAGGATTGTGAGCATCTGTCTGGATTAAATCTCACAATTCCAAAGGAATGCCCCAAATATGGAGAATACCCAAGAATACAATGAGTTTCTACTCTACTTACACTCAAGGTAAAACTGAGAATTTTATTCAGTGAGGACAGGGAAGAGGGATGTCCTGATCAGCCACCTGAGGTATTCCAGACACTACATCTCCCGTATGGTCTGAGTACTGGAGCTTCTGTAAGATAAGGTCTAAATATGCACCATAGTCTTTTCTGACAAGACTGGGCGCATTCCGGGTGGTATGGCGGTAGACCCATAGCGTTTTCTGAATTAGGGTATGTGTTGACACATCGGGACTACCATAGTAGTTACATGTCCTAGTCCTATAATACAAAGTAGCTGTTCTGCTAATATACTGTCTACAGAACCAAACTCAAGAAAGTTAAACAGTGCAGTTGGTGTCATCCATTGTCTTCCTCAGCTACACAGGTGCTAAACCATCTCTTTCCCATAAGCAAAGTCCCTGGTGATAAAATGCACAAAAACAGAAATGGGCAGATCTTAAAAGAGAATACAAACAACTTAATTCCACAATACATGAACATGACAGAAGAAATGCCATGTTTTGATAGACATAAAGGAATGAAGGAAGTTTTTAAAATATGAAAAACTTTAATTTTCAAGACTAAATTTACATTACCTACAAATAAATATATTTTCAAATGCCAGAATGAAAGATGCATTTTTTTCCTAAGTCACTAAAATTGTGAATTCTGGATCCTGTTTCTCCTATCACCAATTCCTAATGTTAGATTAGGAATGTAAAAGTATCCACTCTTGGGAATTCAAAGCTGTTGGGTGTAGAAAACCTCATTATGTCTGGGTTTAGAAAACACGTACCATGTACACTTTTTTCCTTGTGGAGTGATGCAACTACGGACATGACTGTAGGAAACTGTGGCCAGTAAGGGTGTCTGATGCCTACTGAATGCCCTCAAGTTGCTCCAGAAGCTAGGAGTGAAACAGAGCTACTGCACATCTACAACACTGACGGGAGTGTGCAGTGGTTTAGTATGCTAAAGCAAATAATATGAAGTGAGTAATGATGACAGTGGGTCTTAATTACCATTCTGTTACTTAGTTAGGACTTGACTAACTTGGTAACTTTTATAAGAAACATTCACTACAAAACATGCAACTTAAAAAGTATCTGTGCCACTGACAGTCAGGCCAGCTTGTGCCCTAGAGTTCTGGATGATTGCCTGACCCTCCATGGTTTAAGAGTCACAGATGACTTACAGGCTACATCTTAACTTTGAATTGGATATGATCCAATTTTTCTTCTTTGTTCACTTTTCATTAAAGTTAAATGCCCTTAATCTGTGCACAATTACTAAGGGAGATTTTAAAATTTCAACCAATTTCTAGGCCCCGGAGGGTATGGCAGCATAATTCAGGAGGAATACTAGCTAAAGGAACTCGAGCTGTTGCTATTTCCATCTTCTGGTCCACCCAGGTACTACATAGGGCAAGGACAAGTGTAACTAGGTAAGGAGCCATTTGGTTCTGATAGGAGAAACCAGGAGGTACTTGTTTTTCCAAAAGATAATTTTATCTTCTGCCTGTACTACTTTTTGTAGAGCTTGGCTTTTGACTTTGCTAATGGCCGTGTTCCTCATCTTAAGTAAAACAAATTGGCTTAAATTTATTTGGGCAATCTGTGACTGAAATATGAAAAATGTGCTATTACTAAAACCCCCAAAATAATGAAGAACTTAAAAAACAAAACAAAAATTTAATTCTCTGTATCAAACTTTAAAATAAAAACAAAATCCTTACACCAAAAAGTGCTTGCTTAGGACTGACAATTTCTATTTTTATCCTGAGAGACATGTAACATCTAAAAGCACAAACTATACTTTTAAAAACTATAAAGTAATCTCTTTACATAAGAACAGTACTTACAAATGGATCTATTGATACATAAGATATAATTAGTCTGTTTTCTTTTGAAAGTTTCAGCACAAAAACATCTTTGGTTAACTCTTTTCCCTACATGCAAAATAAAATATTCTCACACAATGAGGCTGCTTATCTCTGGATCCTGATGATTTTGTTAATGTCACTTAGCAAAGGAGGCAATACATGGAAAGGTTGGGGAAAAGAAGAAGCCAAGAGAGAAAACCCATCTAGTTGCCATCACCTTGGGTTTGACTGTCAGCAGAAAAATGCCAATAAGAAATAAAGTAGCACACACATGGCACAGTTGTAGCTCCTCATGAGTTGTAGAAACTCATCAGCTCCTCTGATGGTTTCTATTAGCACATTTCTGACGAGAGAGGTCAGTATTTAAACCTGGTGGTACTCTCAGCACAATTTAGCTAATGTAACAGAAAAAAATAATGTTTGATTATGCTCCCTTCCTCCCCCCGCCAAAAAAAAGAGCAAAAGTAGCACAACAACTTTGTTTTAAAAATCAACTGATGTTAGATCCATGATTATAATCTCCGCCTATCCACTCTAACCATAAGGATAGAACTATGTGATTAATATGACAAATCTTTAAACCAGTATTATAAGCATGTCCCATTAGTATTTCCCCTATTAAAATCTTTTTAAAATGAAAATTAAATATCTTATCTTGGCTTTTTAAAGTCTGCCAACCCTTGCAGTATACACAGAGAAGGCAAGAATAATCTGATGTGTCACATGCCAAGAACGTATTTTCAGAAAATAAAGATAGGCAAGGCCTAAGTGTACATGAGGCACACAATAAAAAGGAACTTCACCATCTGTTATTTTGAAATTACAAATGGAGAATGAGAAAGAATGAGTTTATACAAGCATATGTCTCTCTATATATTTATAAATATTTATATAATTTATCATGAAGACATGCAAATAATGTTATAGCAACTATTGTACAATATAATACAGAAGGATCAGTCTTCCAATATTACAGTTGCTTTAGATAAACAGTAAATACACCTTATCTACTGCATTCCTCTGTAGTGCTTGAAACTGAAGTGAAATTAAGATTCCATACTATGCTACATTTCTTAGAGATCTTCTATGTCTCAATATAGTTTTGAGTTTGTTAAAAAGCTCAACACAGATAAAGAGAATGAGTTCAGTTCAGTGCAGCTTCAGGGCAGCTTTGATGCAGCATTAGGATATGTTCATTTGGTGAAGAAACACATTGTTTTTTGTTTTGTTTTCCAGTTTGACCACATTAGGTTTGGCAGCAAACACAAGGTCAAAGAGAAAGCACAGATGTTTGCTAGAAGGCAAATTTCAACAGCAAGCAGACCAATTTACCTGACCTTAATAAGGTTTTACAACACAAAACACAGAGTATAAAAGAGCCCATCTCAAAAGTCTGGTATTCTTTAATTTTGCCTGATTTTTGTTAGCAGAAGAATAAGATTAGAACAAATGTGATCTTCCTCATAGCTTTATAAATTGAGATTACATGGAAAACAGGCCAAGAAGCCCAACTATTAAAACAAAAATACAGAAGAAGCAGGAAATAAAAGAGTAAAATAAAAATATTTAGCCTAAATTTATTTCCCCAGATATTCATTCCTTATTAGCTAAGTGTATAAAATACAAAGTTTGAAAGCTCGATAACATCCTTAATTTCTTTCTAAATCTCTAAGAGCATAAAGTTCCATTTTACAATGTTGTACTTCCCTGGTATCATCAAAGCACGGCACCTTAAAGACTTAAGGAAGCAGTCTCCTTCCACAAGGAGGCCACTCAGCAGGGAAGAAGGGTTCTTCTAACCTGAAGTCCTTACCCCACTCTCTGTCCCTCTTTCCTAAATACTAAAGTAGCCTAGTTAGACTTTCCTTTACTCAAATCTCTAATTTTTCACAATAAAAATGTAAAGCATTAGGGGTCTAAAGAAAGGTCATCGGGTCTGAAAATCTCAGCATGTGCTGCTAAGACATCTGTTAGGATGTGTTGTTCAAACAAGAGAAGTCAGATAAGATACATGAACTTTAAAAAATGTGAAATCCAGGGAGGATACTAGGAATGAGGCAGAGTAAAGTAAGAATTCTCAATACACTAAATAAACACACAAGCCAAATATGCATGAGTACTGGTTCCTGGCAACAGGCTTCTTACATACTCTCATATCTGATCAATGATTCTCCAAGGTTGGGAAGTTTTGAATGAAAACATCAAACATTTTTGCTATGTAGTCTGTGAGTACAGGTTCAAAAAAATTAGGTGAACCCTTTAAAATCCCATTCTACCTCCTGCCCTCAACTCTTTTTGTTTTGAAGGCAGATCTTAAAAAACCGAGAGCTCATTAATGAGCTTCTCCCCTTGGATTTTGCTAGATTGCCCCTTCCTGTGCAAAGACATTGATTCCTGATCCGCTTGCTACCTGCCTTAGGTAACTCCTTATTACATATTTATGTCTTATAAATAATTGGTCATGTTACTTTCTTTTGCAAGAGAAGATCAACACTGATTTTTTTTTAAACAGACAGTACAGGGACACACATTAGGTTTAGAAGGAAGATCTGACACCTTTCCCAGAGATGCAGCCCAGCTCCTATCTGCTGAGTTTACTGGCTGGCTTACTCTTCCCTGGGGGAGTTTTAGTGCTGGTTGAGTGGTGGTGGAGGCTGCCAGATCCTTTCGGACCATTCTTGCTGGGTTTGCAATGCTCCTGTTGGCAGGATCTTCTGGAGGAGGATGATCCTGAGTGGCTGGGAGGTGACTTGCTTCTCCCCAGATGCGGGGACGAACTCCTCTGGTCATGGTGGGGCCGTCCAGCCCTAGATGGTGAGGAACTAGATGTGCGAGGCAAGGATGAGCTGCGAGGAGAGGCACTGGGACTCCTTCGAGGGACAACTGGACTCTTGGGTGGTGTTTTTGGGTTGTGAGGAGATCCTGGGCTCTTGCACTGAGTAGTGCTCCGGGATTTCTGAGATCCATTTTGAAGAATTTGGGCCAGACGGGAGAAAAGGTCTGAGTCAGAGTTACTACTCCCTAGGACTTTATATCTGCGTAGCCTTAAAAGAACAGAGAAGAGTAACTTTCATTTGAATTCATTTCAAGTGTGCCTAAAAGTCATAATGCCCTAAATCATAAGGTGTATGATGTGTACATCATGGCAGAAAATACTCTAACAGGATGCAGAGTTATGCTTTCACACACTTCTTGTGTGACAAATTAACACCTAGCTTCCTTTCTTTCTTTTTTTTTTTTTTTGAGGCAGGATCTTGTTATGTAGCCTAGGCTAGCTGGAACTTGCAATCCTCCTGCATCAGCTCCCAAGTGCTGAGATTACAGGTATGCTTCATCTACTAGCTTTTAATAGGATACAATCTATATCAGAGGGTGACCAAGCAGACCAAATACAGCAACCCAAAGTACTTAAATGATGACAGTCTCTTTCTTCTATGGTATGTTTGCCCTTCTAAATTTAGAATTAACTTAATGAACTGTCTCCCGCATGTTAGCACATGAGACAGAGTAAACCAGAATAAGGCTGCTAGGACACCAATTCTGTAAACATTATATCTCACAAATGTAAGTCTGCACCATGAACTACATAAGCCAGTAGCAGGAGCTAGAGACAAAAGTATATTTCAACCTCATTTAATAATTTCCAAAAAGCAGGATGCTGTGGACTCACATCTTAATCTTAGCTACTTGAGAGGCTGAGATCGGGAGGATCATGGTTCGAAGCTAGCCCAGGCAACAGTTGTAAGATCTTATCTCAAAATACCAACACAAAAAAGGGCCGGTGAAGTAGCTCAAGTGGTAGAGGGCCTGCCTAGGAAGTGTGAGGCCCTGAGTTCAGACCCCAGTACCACCCCCAATTTCTTATTCCCCCAAATAAAAGAGCAGTAACTGGTTTATCTCAGTTTCTGCCCCTATCAATAGTCAGGATAAGGACAGGGTGAGTGTAGAGACTAACTGCCACTCTTAAGGGCAACTGAGCAAGGGCCTCAGCATTAAAAAATCAGAGAATATTCATATGAATAACAAGGGCTTCTCTGCCCTAGATAGCTTTCTGATTTGGCCTAAGAATCAAATAAAGTACTGTAGATGTGAGGTGTTTTGTAAATAGTAAATAGTAGCAATACTAAATAATGTGGTTATAAGGGTGTTGGGGATCCACCATTAATACAACTATGATAATTAAAAGTACACAGGGACAATACAGGCAAAAGAATGAAAGAGCACTGAATCTAAGAAAGATCCTGCATCTCCATGGAAAATGAATATTGAGATCAGTAAATGTTTGATAAAACGTCTTGTCATACACCATGCCTATAATCTCAGCTACTCAGGAGGCAGAGATAGGAAGACCACAAGTTTGAGGCCAGCCTGGACAAAGTCATGTCCAAAAACAAAAGGGCTGGGGGTGTGCTCAAGTAGTAGAGTGCTTGCCTAGTAAGTCTACTCTTGGGAAAACAAAAACAAAAAACCTAAAAACCACAAAACCATAAAAGTGCTAGAAAGTACTTCAATTTAGGGTTGACGGGACTTTCATAAGCCTGATATAAAACAGAGGTCATTTAAAAAAATTCAACCAGGCACTGCCGGCTAAGGCCTGTAATCCTAGTTATTTGGGAGGCTGAGACTGAGAGGATCGTAGTTTGAGGACAGCCCAGGAATATAGTTTGAGAGACCCCCATCTCTAAAATAACCAGAGAAAAATGAACCAGAGGTGTGGCTCAAGCAGTAGAGCACCTGCTTTGCAAGAACAAAGCCTTGAGTTCAAACCCTAGGGCCACCGAAAAAAAAAAAAGTTCTATAAACCCTAAAATTTTTCTATCAAGCAAAAGGCACCACAATCCAAGTAAAAGACAAATAACAAGAATAAAATTATCTTCAATATATTTTGCAAAGAGGTTGACAATTAAGAAAAATCAATACGGTGTTTGATATGAATGTGGTCAGCAACTCATAAAAGCAGCTCAAGTAGAGAATATATACTATGCTGGGAGTGCCGGTGCACACCTGTAACCCCAGCTACACAGAGGCAGAGGCAGAGGGTCAAGTTCCAAGTCTGTGAAAAGTCAGTGAGGCCCTGTGCCAAAACAGGGGGTGGGATGGGGGATAGCTGCTGAGGAAGTGGATCAAGCTCCAGTGATAGAGCACTTGCACTTGCCTACCACAAGCAAGGCCCTGGATTCAGTCAACAGTACCAAAAAAGAAAGGAAAGAATACAAAACAGTCTCATGAATAATCAAATACAAGTTAAAACAGATTGACCCCTTGAGAAAAAAATTTAAAGTAATATAGTTTAGGCATTTCTAAACCAAAAATCCAAAATACCCTAAAACCGAAAACTTTTTGAATGCTGACATGATGCCACAGGTAGAAAATTTTACACTGCAAAACTGTTTCATGCACAAAAGTATTAAAAATATTGTACAAAATTACCTTTATGCTATGTGTATATATATGTATATATACACATATATATGAAATGTAGAAGAATTTAATATTTAATTTGGGTGTACCATCTCAAGATATCTCTTTAACAAAAGCAAATATGCCAAAACCTGACAAAATCCAAAATTCAAAATACTTCTGGTATTTCAGATAAGGGATACTTCACCTGAATTGTAAGTCGCTGATAAGGATGTGGAAAAGAGACCTCATGTACAGTTGGCATGAGGATAAGCTATTAGGTCAACCTTTTGGGGAAGTTACTTTGAATATATAAATTTCCCAATATGCAAACACTAGCAATTTTACTTGTAGGCACCTATATCTAGAAATGTGGGCAAAGTTGCTGAAAACCCAGGTACAAGGTTATTCACTGCAGTATTGTTTATAAAAGCAAGGACCTGCCTGTCATCCTAGCTACTCAGAAGGCAGAGATCAGGAGGATCTTGGTTTGAAGTCAGCCCAGGAAAATAGTTCTCAAGACCCTAAAATAGTTCCAGAGACCCTATCTCGAAAAATCCCAGCACAAAAAAGGGCTGGAGGAGTGGCTCAGTAGTAAGAGTGCCTGCCTAGCAAGTGTGAGAAGTGTGAGGCCCTGAGTTCAAACTCCAGTACTACTAAATGTTCATTAATAGGAAAATGGTCTGTTACATCTACATCATGGATTGTTACATAGTATTTTAAAAAGAGAAACAGATCTACATTTACCAATATGGAAAGAAGACTGAGACACATTCAGCACAAAAGTCATGCATGGACACTACATATGTTAGAAAGAGTAGGGAGATGAATATAGCTTTTCTTTATATACTTTTGCATTACTTTAACTTTTTTTCAACAAACGTATTATTTCTGTATTCTGAAAATACTGATAAAGATTTTAAAGTTATGATATAGTAATCTTATTTTTGAGACAGGATCTTGCTATGGATTTCAGGCTGGTCTTGAACTTCTGCCTCAGCCTCCAGTGCTGGGATTACAGTCATGTACCCCCTTGCCCAGCAGTAATCAACTTTTTATATAAGAGTTTGTCCCCCAAACTCATTCATGAATTTAATCCCTTAATATCTTAATGTTATGAAGAAGGTGGATATTTTTAAAAAGGAATAAACCATTTAAATGCTGTTACTTTTACAAAGTTTCCTATTTTTGTGAAACCTCAGAAATTTCTCTCAGAAGGTGGAAACTTAATGTATGTTGTTTAGAGAAGGAGCCTTTGAGAAGCAATTAGATTAGATCAGGTCATTAGAGTGGAGCCCATATGATTGAATCCTGGAGGCTTTATAAGTAAAGGAAAAGATCATATACACATGCTTACGCCATCATGGGATATACCCAAGGGGGGAACTCACCAGGGCTTTGTGCCATGCTGTTTGGAATTTCAGTGTCTAAAACGATGAACTGAAACACCCCTTTTCATTATAAGTTAATTCGTCTCAAATATATTGTATGGTAACAATAAGTTGAGTAATAAATATGGTTCTAAATGGAAAATGTAAGTATTATCAACATCTTTTTTGACACCAGGAATCTGTCTCTCTACCAACAACAATTGCACTGGCAGAGTCTGTCTGATGTGACTATTTTAGAAATGTGGCATGTGTTAAAGGTTTGCAACTTCTAGGGGAAAGCTTGGACTACAAGCTGCAGTTCATTTTGGTCAGTTTCATATTTTAGCCTAGCAGCAGCTGCCCATCCCTACTCTCAGCTCTGTGGCAAGCATCTGCGCACTAGTCCCTAAAGCAGGTTGCACATAGCTTGCAGGAGCCTCAGTAGTAGGCAAAAAATGAAAATGAAAACCAACCAACCAACCAAACAAAAACCCTTCTGTCCTATAATTAGCGGGGATCTCTTCTGTCATTGCTGCTTCTGATAACAGACAGACAAACAAAGACAGAGGGTGGCCCATTCTTACATTTCTGCTTGTTGAAGACCCTTTCCTTCTGGCTGAAATTACTTTCAGGGGTTAGAAAGAACCTGTAAAAAGCAACTATATGGTGGAAATTAGGTATTTTTAATTTTTAAAAAAATTTATTCATTTTTGAGATGGGGGGGTGGGGGTGGGGGGTGGGTGGGGGTGGGGCTGAACCTAGGGACTCACACATGTTAAGCAGCCACTTTGTTACTGAGCTACACACCTAGCCCTCTAGGGGAAATTAAAAAGTTAGCATGTACTCCCTAGGAAAGGTGTATGCTCAGAAACGAACTGAGAAGACCTTAAGTTTACACCTCAAGCTGATCCTCAGTTCAGATGCAGCCTACCAATATAAAAAACAAAACAAACAAAAAAACAGGCTAGAATCTCCCAGCTTCGAAGGTATAAATATACTTGGGACAATAACCACCACTTTCACCTCTTCCTCCCACCTTCTGAATGTCAGAGTGCTCCTTTCTCCCTTTCTATTTCTCCCTGCTTTGCTAAATAAATCTTTGTTGGCCTTCCAAAGAAAGACTAAAGAATAAAAATAAGCAAACAAAAACCCAGAAAACAAAAACCAGCAAATCCTAGAGAAGAGGAAAAACCTGATATCCAGAGTTAACTACAACAACAAAAACAAAATCAAAAGTCAAAGGAACTGAAAAGTATGGTCCTATTCAAAGGAAACACACACACACACACACACACACACACACACACACACACACACACACACACACACACACACACACACACACAGATCAATATGAACTGCACCTGAAAAAGACCTGTTGGCAAATTTATTAGAAAAAGACTTTAAAACAACTATTTTAAAGATGTTCAAAAACTAAAGAAAGTCATGGAGAAGGTCAACAAAGTGATATATTAAAAAATGGAAATAACATTAAAGAGGCAGAAGAATCTAAAAAGAAACCAAGAAAAATTTTGGAGCTGTAAGCTACCAGCACTAAAATGAAAAATTTATCTAAAGGATTCAAAAGCAGATTTGGGCAGGCAGAAGAAAGAAAAGATAAACTAAAAGATAGGACAATGGATATTATTGAGTCTGAATTACAGAAAGAAAAAGATTTACAGTAAACAGGGTAAGACTATATCAACACAGGTATTGCAGGAGTCACACAAGCAAAGGATACAAAGAAAGGACAGAGACAGCAGGGTGCTGGTGCCTCATGCATGTAATTATAGGTCTTCAGGAGGCAGAGATAAGGAGGGTTGTGGTTCAAACCCAGCCTGGGCAAAATAGCTTTCGAGATCCTACCTCTAAAAAAGCCATCATAAAAAAAGGCTAGCAAAGTGGCTCAAGGTGTAAGCCCTGATTTCAAACACCAGTACCACAAAAGAAAAAGAAAAGAAAAGGAAAGGAAAGGAAAAGACAAAACAAGACAGAGAGAAAATTTGAAGAATGGCTGAAAATACCCTAAATTCAATGAAAGACATGACTATACAAACATACAGGATGAACCTAAAGAAACCCAAACCAAGACACACAACCAACCTGTCATAAATCAAAGACAATCTTCTTTTTTTTGGTGGGACTGGGGTTTTAACTCAGGGCTTCATGATTGCAAAGCAGGTGCTCTATGAATTGAGCCACACCACTTTGCTCTGGTTATTTACGAGATGGGGTATTGAACTATTTTCCCAGGCTGGCCTCAAACCTCGCTAATCCCAATCTTAGCTTCCCAAGTAGCTAGGATTTCAGGTGTGAGTCACTGGTGTCTGGCTAAGAGAATCTTTAGTGGGGTGTCACACACAAGGGGTCCTCAATATCAGATTTCTCATCAGCAAATTTGAGGCTAGAAAGCAGTGGGCTAAGGATTAGTATTTCTAAAGTGCTAAGAAAAAAAACTATCAGTTAAGTATCCTATATCCAGCAAAACTGTCCTTCAAAAGTGAGGGAGAAATTAAGATACCCTCAGATAAAAGCTGAGGCAAGGGCTGTCAGTATAGCTCAGAGGTAGAGCACGTGCTTACCATGCATGAAGCCTTGGGTTCAATCCCTAGCACCACACAAAGAGGAAGAAAAAGAAGAAAAGCTGAGGGGCTTTATTACCTATCATTAGACCTGTTCTGCAAGAAATGCTAGAGGGAATTCTGCAGGTTGACATGAAAGGACAGCAGACAGCAACTTAAAGCCATGAGGAAATAAAGACCTCAGTTTTAAAGGTAATTATAAATGCTAGTATTATGATAACAACTGTTTCCAACTCTACTTTTTGTTTTCTGCGTGAAAACTAAGTTTTTAAAAGAAAGAATCAATTATTAGTGCAGAAGCTGGCATTCCTTTTCTTTTTCTTAAGCAAAATTAAGCAGGGAGGAAGAAGAGAAAAGCCCCGTAGGGGCAGGGGTCTCAAAAAGATGGAGCCTGCTAGTATTATTCTAACTCTGGTTAGAATGCAAAAGATTCTTTCCTACGTTTTTTAAGAAACTAATTCATTTTAAAATTATAAGCCTAGCTGGGCGCCAGTGGCTCACACTTGTGATCCTAGCTACTCAGGAGGCAGAGATCAAGAGGATCACGGTTCAAAGTCAGCCCAGGCAAATAGTTTGCGAAAATCTGTCTCAAAAAAACCTATTACAAAAAAGGGCTGATGGAGTGGCTCAAGGTTCAAATCCCAGTACTGAAAAAAAAATTGTAAACTTATCTGTTGGATATAATATATAAAGTGTAATTTTCGATATTAACAACTGAAAAAGAATGGGAATGGAGATTTAAAGGAGCAGTGTTTTTGTATGTTATTGAAGTTAAACTGATATAAATCCAAATTAGAGTGCTAGGACTTTAGGATAGTAAATGTAATTCCATCATAACCACAAAGCAAATAGCTACGGAATATACACAAAAGAAATGAGAAAGGAATATAAGTGTTCCACTACAAAAATAGTCAACTGAAAGAAGACAAGAGAAGCAAGAATTGAGGGGCAAAATGTTATCAGTCAAGTAGAAAACAAACACCAAAATGATAGAAGTCCCTTCTTATCAGCCTTAGAAAGGAATTTCTGACAGATGCTACAACATGGATGAACTCTGAAGACTTTATGCTAAGTAAAATAAGCCTGCTACAAAAAGCCAAATACAGTATGATTCTACTTATATGAAGTACTTAAAGTGATCAAAACTATACGGGGGAAAAAAGCAGATTACTAGCTTCCAGTGGCTTGGAATGGGAATGGGCATTTCAGTTTTACATGATAAAAAAGAGGTCTGGAGTCAGGCTCTGGTGGCTTACCCTTACAATCCTAGCTACTTGGGAGACAGAGATCAGGAGGATTGTGGTTTGAGGCCAGCCCTGGCAAGTAGTTCATGAGATCCTATCTTGAAAATACCCAATGCAAAACAGGGCTGGAGGAATGGTTCAAGTGGTAGAGACCCTGCCTAGCAATCGTGAGGCCCTGAGTTCAAACCCCAGTACCATCAAAAAAAAGAAAAAAAAGTTCTGGAAATAGACAGTAGTGATGGCTGCACAACAAACTTAGCCAGTAAATACCAATGAAAAGTACATTTAAAATGGTTAAGATAGTACATTTTATGTTAGGTATACTCTACCATAATAAAAATAAAGAAAAAAGGGAGAATTAACCTGTATCAATCTGTACTGTGTTATAAAGGCTATGAAAGGTAGGGAAGAAAATATGCAGAAATGCAGTAAAAAATAATTGCTACCACTGACATATTATAGTAAGGCATATACAGAAATAATATAACACACTTAACATAGGAAGAGCAGACAGTATTACCTGGCTTCTACTCCAGGCCTTGTGGGTGGTTTTCCTGGTGGAGGCCGAGGCAAGAACTGAGACGAAGCTGAGCTACTGACTTGGTCTGTGTTGACCCAGGAAACAGGCCTTGGAATTTTGCTCTTTCTAGACTGGGAGATGATGGGGGACAGAAAGTTATCTTCGGCTGACCTACTCAGGTGAGAATCTACTGCCAGCCGGGAAAAGGGAGTGAGGACTTCCTCCTCAGAAAAGGGAACAGGAACAGCAGCCAGTTTTTCCTCTAGCAGTTTATCAGAGGCACTTGAGAGGTCACCCAGGAAAGACTTGAATTGCCTTTTTTCCACCAGGAGTTTGACTAGGTCTGGTTGATAGGCTTTCTTTTGTAGCAGCTTTTCTTTTGCGGAGACTGCAGAGGATGATTCAAAAGTTGAGTCTATCTCTTGTGCTAAAACAGGGATTCGGCTATGTCTAGTTATAAAGGATGACCTGACTACATCCTTCCGGGTTGGGGCACCATGTTCATTCTCTGAAACACAATGATACAGTTCTCCATTTCTAGGGGCAATTTTCTCTTTCTTACCCTCTTGGTGCAAAAAAGTAGAGAGGTCTCCTTGATGACCTGGCAAGTCTTCACTCTTGATGTCATCACCCTTAGACAGCTTACTTTTTTGCATTGCTGCCACTTGGCCTATCTGTCCTTCAACATGTGTTAAAGAGATTTCTGAAGTTTCAACTGCCAAAAGCTTCATTATTTCATGATTTTTTTCTTGATTTGGCACCACACTAAAAGTCTGTGTCTTTGTCACATCAAGAGGTTCAGTAGTAGCTGAGCGATCTCTTTCCATAGTTGCCAAATCTCGTGGGAAAGAGATCTCCACACAATGATGCACTTTACTTAACTTCTCATCGTCATTTTCTAACCCTAGCAAAATGCTTTTCTCTTCAGTTTCTCCAGGGAGATTTTCAAATTCTCTCACAACCAGTCTGTTGTGGTTAGGAAGGTCTTTTGGTCCCAGGTCTTGAGGTTTTTCACTCTCTCTAATATTGGATAACATGTCGTGACTGATGTGATCTATCTGTCCCAAATCTGTTCTGCTTCCTCCACTAGCAGGTTCACCTTCTGTCACAACCAAGCCAGAGCAGTTATCCCTTGGAGAGTAAAGTTCCACGGTGGGCTCTATGGGCGGAAGATCTTTCTTCTCTGGTTGCTGCCCATAGTGAAAGCTTCCTGAAGTTGACTGTGTGGATGCCACAGAAGGTCTAGGAATTGTAATCTGGAGAGGGAAGAGAACAAAGTTAAAATGTAATTATGTGGAATATCAATCAAGGTGGGAGATTTGAGATTCAGTACTTCAAATTCCAATTTAGGAGAGCAACACAGATGTTAACTAGATCTGCTCAACTTGTACCAAAATGAGCAATTCTGAATAAAGATGAATGCCACTCAAGCTCTCCTACTAAGGAACTATGTGGAAAAGTCTCCCTCCAGGTTCACCCCACCTTTCCTTTTTAGGCTGTTCTATGGCTGGAAGACTGAATTGCACAGACTGCACCATCCGGGCTTCTTTTCTTTCTGATTTCTGAGTGGATTTGCCAAATGGGTGGTGCCAGCAAAAAATCAGAGGGAAAAAAGAAGAGGACAGAGTGATGATTCTCTGCTTCTTCCCAGGAAACTGCAGCTTTGGTAGCGGCCACATCCCACCATTCTCACTACCACTCCTGTCACATGGCCCCTTTCTCAGTCATGATTATCGACAGATTCTGCTAACAATTCCTCTTCCTCTTCAAGACTCACATGAGGAATGGCTCCCCTTATTGCTAGTCCTGCTGGTGCTCTTAATTCTGCCTATATATTTGTAAAAAGTTCCTCTTAGGAAACTCTCTCCAAGTTGCTTTGAATGTGTACCTGTGTCCTGCCAGAATCCAGATAAAGCATCACAGGAAAAAAGTTACTGGCAAATGATTGTTATTTGAACCCCTTCCCAATTTCAATGCATTTGGTTTTATTCATAAATGATATCAAATGAAGTTAGGAGTATTACATCTTCCTATAAGCAACTAATAGGTATTTACTAATGTTTTATGCCTTCTCTAATTTTTAAGATCATGCCTTCAATAAATGGAACTCTACCATTCTTATACTGAAATCATTTCAATTCTATGTGAATATGATTCAATATCTAATAAGAATGCCCTCTCTTAAGCTTCCCAAATGGAAGACTAGGTGTGGCGGCACATATTTATAATCCCAGGAAGATAGAGAGTTTGAGGACAGCCTGAGCTACCTACCGCATAGCAAAACCCTATGACAAACAACAACTTAAAATAAAAAAATAAAAAAAAAGAAGAAGCAGGGTCCTGAGCATGTTTCAGATTAATCCAAGACAGGATGCATGGGTTTAGACCTGAACTCTTAAGAGGCTTACTTTTTTTTTTTTTTGGGTGGGGGGTGGGAACGGTTGGTACTGGGCTTTGAATTAAGGGCTTCATTTTGCTAGGCAGGCACTCTATCACTTGAGTTATACTCCCAGACAGATCTGAACTCTTACAATAAGCCCAGACTGATAGTTACCCTTCAGGAAGACACCTCATTCTTTGCAAGTATCTAAATATCTTTCTAAATTATTCCAAAATATATTGAGGCAGATGGCAACTTTCTAGTATATTTTAAAAATGATAATTGAAACCTAACATTTATAAAACTTTTTTTTTTTCTCAGTACTGGGGATTGAATTCAGGGCCTACACCTTGAGCCACTCCACCAGCCCTTTTTTGTGATGGGTTTTTCAAGATAGGGTCTCATGAACTATTTGCCTGAGCTGGAGTTGAACTGTGATCTTCCTGATCTCTGCTTTCTGAGTAGCTAGGATTACAGGCATGAGCCACTGTATCTGGCATATAAAACTACTTTTTAAAAAAGTTACTTTTTATGACCCAAACATGGTAATGATAAGAAAAGCAGATGTGAAGGTATACTAAACGCCAAATAACAAAGGAGATAAATACCTATATTCAAAATAAACCAAATATAAGCCAGACATGGTGGCCCATGTCTGAAATCCCTGCTATTCAGTAGGTGAAGGCAGGAGATCCCAAGTTCCAGGCAAGCATAGGCAAAGTTAGCGAGATCCTATCTCAAAAACAAAACACAAATAATAGGGCTAGGGGTGTAGTTCAAGTGGTAAAGTGCTTACCTTGCATTCAAGAGGCTCTGGGTTAACTCCCCAGTACAACAAAATAAACCAAATATAGTCACCTCATTATTACATGTAATTCAAAGAACATTAGCTAAAATGAAGTCAACAGTGTTTACAAGAATAATACTCCACTGGTCCTCTGAGATTGAAGCTAGAGTTAGTGTCCACAGTTCTGGGATTAACTCATTTTAGATTAGGATATAAATGTATGCATATGCATGGTATGAAAAAAGGAATGACAACCTTGTACATAGAAAATATGTATGAACAGAGAGTAGTGACTCATATATCTGTAATCCCAGTTACTTAGGAGATGGAGACAGGACCACAGCTCGAGGACCACAGCTTTTGCCACAGTCAAGGCAAAAAGTTTGTGAGACCCCATCTCAACCAACAGGTGGATGTCATGTCACACACCTGTCATCCCAGCTGTGTAGGAAGCAAAAATAGGGAGGATTGTAGTCCAGGATGGCCTGGCCTGGGCAAAAAACAAAACCCTACCCCCAAAATAAGTAAAAGAAAAAGGCGCTGAGGGTGTGGCTTAAGTGATAAAGTGCCTGCCTAGCAAGTACAAAAAAAAAGGAAAAGAAAAGATATATATGAACCATTAGACAGAATTTATTTTCTTGAAAAATTTCTGAGCAATCATAACAAGCTGTGCATAAATTACTCTCATATAAATTACTCATATAAAAACTTTCAATTTTATAAGATAGTCCTAAAATCATTACAAATTCCATTTCATAGCTCCCCTAAATTTAATTGGGTTCTATTATTAATAGGAATTCATAAATGAAAAACATAGCCAAGGAAAGTCATAGACAGGATTTCATGATTTTGAAAGTTGTGCACGGCACAGCACAGCACAGCCTACTAACATGTAGCACATACTCTCAAATGAAGTCTGGGAGAGTGAGTCTGCAAAAACATTACTTGAGAAGAAAAAAAGAGAAATCCTAAGACCAACAATTGAATACAAAGACAAGAAAGCTAATTCTAAGTGTAGCTGAAAATAACTTCCTTAACCTTAAGAGTACAAATAGAAAAGCAATTTCCATTCTTGTGACATGCTATCAATGGATTAAATAAACAGTCTGCCAGGAAGCCATATTCATCTTTCATACCTTTAATTTCTGTAATTCATAAACATTCCGCTAAGGCATTATTTCAATAATTTCCATTCTTGTGTCATGTACCCCTTTCTAGAGAATTAGGAAATCACCTCAGTATTTCCATTTCTTTCATATTCTCATAGTTTTATTAATCCTAGAACTAATGTGGATATCAGCCTCATTATCTTTATAGTGTAGGCAGAGGAGCTCATTATTTTTCAGTCATCTCATGTTTAGAGCAGGCTATATAGCAATAGAAAATAAAAGTGTAAAACAACTACCATTTGCTAGAAAATAAAAGTGTAAAACAACTACCATTTGCATTTTAACTTATGAATCATCCTTTTTTTCTTTCACTCAAGGACATTAATGCTGCTAAGATAATAAAAATGTTGTGAAATTCAACATTCATATCAAATAGCCACTCTTACAAATGAAAGTTATTTGATATACAAAATACCTATATCTTATTTTGATTTGTGGACAGAAAAATAATTTAGAAGAGATGTAAACAGCAGAATAATTGGTTGGTTCCTATATAGTCAAGAACTAACTGAGTTAGGGCAACAAATTAACTATGTGAATGCCTTTGGGTGGTTCAAATTTCACTACATGTATCTTTTGTTTAAAGCAACTTTATATAAAATTTTATACAAATGTTGAAAACTGTAAATACTGCTACTCAATCATGATTTTAATGTATCAAATTTCTATTTTTACTAAAAACAGAGGGCTGGTGGAGTGGCTCAGGGTAGAGCACCTGTCTAGTAAGCGTGAGGCCCTGAGTTCAAATCCTAGTATTGTCCAAAAAAACCTTTGGGCTGGTGGAATGGCTCAAGCAGTAAGAGCGCCTTCCTAGCAAGCTTAGGCTCTGAGTTCAAGCCCCACAACTGCTCTAAATTAAAAAAAAAGATTAAAGTATGCAAGGTGCCGGTGGCTTACTTCTGTAATCCTAGCTATTCAGAAGGCAGAGATCAGGAAGATCTCTGCCAGCCCAGGAAATAGTTCATAAGACCTTATCTCGAAAAACACCCAACCAAAAAGGGCTGGCAGAGTGTTTAAGTGGTAGAGCACCTGTTTACCAAGTATGAGGCCCTGAGTTCCATAGTACCACACACACACACACACACAGAGAACAAAAACAGTACACAGCAGTGGCAACATGTGCATATTAAGAGGCCATACATGCCATCTCCCACTCTTCACCTATGCTGCTCACTCTAAATGCATTTATGTTAATCACTTATGCTGAATATATCATATATCATTGTTTGGCCTATGTGGTGGATGGGGAGAAAGTGGATACAAGGAAGGGATGAGGAGAGCAGCAGCCTTTGATACAAAGGTGAGAAAAATGAACACCCAAAGCCTCAAGCCCTAAGTAAATAAAATGTATGAATTTCACCTTTTCCCTTCCCTTGTTTTTACAGAGGTTTGCAAGTACAAATATTTATAGTATTAAAGTTTTTACTAGTACTAAAAATCATAAGCAAGCCACAACTCAGTTTGGGGTAGATGTGTTAATTTTTTTTTTTTTTCTTTTTTGCAGTGCTGCAAAAAAGCACGAGGATGGAACCTAGGACCTTGCACATGCTAGGTGAGTGTTCTACACTGAGCTACATTCCAGTATTGGCTAGATTTCATCCCTAACTTATTCCTTTGATAGTCCTCTTTATGCCATGAACAACCTGCGCAACTATTAAAAAAAAAAAAAAGCAGTCCTGGGAAAGAGAGAAAGACCAACTAATACACTGTGATTAGAGGAGATGTAAGCAGGACTTTATTTTCCTATTTTGGAGCACAGGCAAATTCCTACAGAAGCATACACAAAATGAAATGTCACTGGTATCTCTTCGCACTGTTTTGACCTACATATGAAACTGTGCTCTAACAGAAATCTTTTCCATTTAGGAACAATGCTGTTTCTGAGGAGTTAGAAAGGATGTGGCCTGATGATTACAGAATTTAAGGAAACTTGGTAACTCCCACCCATGGAAGGACAGATGGACCTGTGGATGGCTGAGATTGAGCACTCAGTTCCTTATTGTCTGGGAGCTTTTCAGGGATTTTGTTTGACCATCTCTGGCTTTTCCCAGGCTTCTTCTGCTCATACAGTCACTGTTTATAGCACTAATGTTTACCAATAACAGAGTTAACAGGTACCTACAGTTGAATGCACAAGATAGAATAAGGAATAGTGTCTCCTCAAAACTTTCCTTTTCAGAAAACCTGTGTTATGACTGCCTTCAGCTGCTTATCAAAATGAAGAGCCTACTTTACTTTAGACCTATAAAAGCAGAAGTTCTAAAAGTGAGGCCTAAGACTCTGCATTTTAAACAGTGGACTCCAAAGGTGGAAAACTATTATTTGAAAGGAATGTAAAATATGAGAAATTTCTGGAAGATTTCAAAAAAAGGCTTAGTAACAACATACAAAGTAAAGAACAAATCATAATTAATTATAGGCCTTCTTCAGCAAATATATAATAAAAAAATCTCTAGAATTACATGTTTTAAAATATCATATTATAAATATATACATACACACACTCATATATTCTTGTGATCTAATTTTAAATGTTAGCCCCAAATTAAGTTGTAATGATATTTCATGTATTGAATTTGATATAATTAAAGGAAAATTCACTTTTTGAAATATTTCCTATTGAGGGTTCACTATAGAATTTAGTGTAAACATCACTCCCTATATCCATTCGCCAAATTTAGGCCTCTAACAGAGAAAAATGATGAAACCAATCTCTTACCGCTGTGAGAGGTCCTTCTGCTTGTGCCTCCATTGGACTTGTGGGTGTTACTGCAATAAACTGACCAGAAGCTCCGGCCTGGAGATCTAGCCTATCTGTGTATGGTTCTGAAGCAGCAGGGCACTCCACAGATAGTGCTAAGACCACACCTGAGGTTTCCTTCTTTAAATGATCATTTTCTGACCAAGGACCTATTTGGGGCTTTTCTTCTTGAGGTGTTTCCTCCAGGACTTGAAGCACTTCAGGCTCCTCATCAGAAGGGCTTCCTGTTGTTTTATGGCCTAAAGCCTCATTTGTCCTAAAATCCTGAAGATCTTGCTCCTTGTCCACAATCACCCATTCTTTGGAATCAACCTCCTGCTTGCAAGAGCTCAGGTTAACAGCTATAAAGCCATTGCTGCCACCACCATCAGCCTGCTCAGGGGTGTTGGCAGAGGCAGGCTTGGAGGCATCTGGAAGATATTCTTCATCATAGTGCCAGATGTGGTCAGTACGGGACACAGCAGGAACATAAGGCTTATGAAGTAGGGCTGGAAGAATAGATTCCTTTCCTGCGCTGGAATCTTTCTGCATTTTCTCTAGGCTTAAGGAAATGGAGAGAAGTCACTTAACTGTCCTTAGGGAAACATTTATCACATAACCTATAAGCTCTATTCAGAACTATTCACACAAAAATGAGAGAAAACATGGATAAACAAGGGTGCACAGGGTCAATAATATTCAAACTGCCACAATCCTGGTTTGGAAGATAGAGTTCAGCTCTTTCCTCAGCAGGGTTCACTGTTTAGCACCTTTCTTTTGTTAGACTAATATTGGCCAAATTAAACTTTTATCCCTTTTGCACTCATATTTACTCCCCATCTTAACCATAATGTTTAAAAAATGTTTAAAGCACTGCCCAAATACTAGTTTATCCTTTTGATTATATCAGCATGTAAACACATGTTTACATCACAAAGCTGCCAGCTGGAATGATACCTATTTGAGGAAGAAAGAACAATGAAAAAGACTTTTTAAAATGGAAGCCAAGCCAGTTGAGGCCACAGGTGGCTAAACTATCTTGGGACATTGTACCTACCATGTTAGTCAAATCCATGATCCTTCTAATTTAACATTTCATTTCCAACAGAAATCAACAAAGCTACACCATTGAAGGGAGTGGCTACTATTAAAAGCACTTAGGTCTTAATATTCTGGAAGACTTCTATAATTCACAAATATACCTAAAACTATTTTTAAAGTTTCATTTCTGTCTTCTGTTGTCAACATTTGCTTCAATGACCATAAGCCACAAGCAGTCATTACAGTATTTATATACAGCTCTCTGAAGTTTTACCTTTCCTTCTCTCTGAGTATATTTTGAGATCGAGAGGGCAATAATGATAAAACTATTGTTATGTATTTTCTTACTGCACCTTCCTCATAGAAATCCCTTCACTAAATTCAAAGTCCTGTCTTTTATTTATGAGTTACTTTTTTTCTTTCCTTCATTTACCCCCATCATTTCTGCCTAAAGCTTTCTTTATCATGCCCTTGCCAACTCTATAGTGTTGTTTGGAAGAGATCATCCTTCCAAACAAGGTCACTGCAAAAAATGTTTATTTAAATATATGTAGTACTATGAAGTTAGCAGCTCCCACAGCCACAGGCTTTGCTATAGGATTTATAACAGTATTGGATTCACATTAATAATCAGGATGAAGACAACTAAGAACATAGGTGAAAAATAAGAGCTTAATGGAGTCAATGTTACACAATGCAAAAATTTCTTATTTAGAAGACTTTACATAAAATAAATAAATAAAATTTAATAGTAATAATAATAATAGTAACAATTGTGGTATCTTAGAAGCTTTAAAAAGAAAGAAAAATCATTACCAGGTCTCAAGAAACTTGTCAGTATCTGGCTTTGGCTCCAGTGTCAGACGTTTTTCCAGCTCAAAACTGTGGATGGATCGTAACTTTCGTACCAATGGAACATCCCTATCTGGCTGAGTAATCTCAGATCGGACACGAATTGGAGAACCAAGGCTTGGAGCATTGAGAATACCATTTGCTTGGCCATGGCTGTTCTCTTCTTCAGTAGCAGCCTAGAAAAAAATATGAAGTAGAACCATGAAAAATATTCCAGGTAGTATACATGGGAGAAATCACTGAGGCCTTTCAAAATATTAGAAACAAATTATTAGAATCTTTTTTCAGATGATGAAGATATTTTGACTAGTTCACCAAAAATATTTTTGGTATAAAGATAAAAAGTCTAAAAATGTTTAATGAGTTTTACTTCTTGCATTTCATCTGACTAGATGCTTATAGGACCCCACTCTACTAAACTGAAACAAAAACCTGGAAAGGATGTTCTCTTGAGACATGTAGCCTCACAAGAGATAGGAGAGGTCACCAAACATAAGCCCCTCTCTTTTTATTCCCCCTCTCAAAAACTGAAGCAGCAGGAGGAGCTGAGCATGAGGTAGCACAGATGAGTGGGTTCTTTGAGAACAGATGCCCACAGCAGCATAATTATCAGAGAAATCTACCTTACACCAGAGTGCAGTGAACCTGGAAAGTCTGGGATATCTATTCTAATTAGAGACTATCAATAAGATTAGAGGTACACTGTGGCTGTAGGCAGAAGCCAACATCTCTGAAGCAAGGTTGCTCCATGTTCAGTTTAGTTCTATAGGATTCCCACCATTTGTTAATGAGACAAAAAAACCTAAAGATAATCAAACACAGTAGAAGGCATACCACCATGACTAAGAGTCAGTAGAAATAATAATTAAAAATCATAACCAAAATAAAATGACAATATTTAAAACTCCCAGACTTTACATATCAAACCTCTCTGACAGAAAGTGTAGAACAGCTATGTACAAAATGTTTAAATAAGTCAGTATCACATAAAACAAAAAGATTATCTAGAATTGATTAAATACTAACTATTCAATTAAATTAAACAAAAAATTAGCCAAAAAAGAAAAAAATGCAGTTAAATGCATTATTATTATTATTATTATTTTAGTTAAAATGCAGAGCATCACAGTCAAGAGAAGCTAAAAAGTGACTGAGAAGAAAAGACAGGAGTGGTGGTGGAAGGAGAATTGATCATCTACAAAGGAAAAAACAGAATGATAGCTCAATTCTGAACATGAACTACTGAAGCCAGAAGAAAATAGCTATCAGTCAGAAACTTCAAATTCAGCATAATCTGTTCTGAATGAACAAAACTAAAACAAATACATTTTTAGATAAGTAAAGTTTGAAAGGAACCTTTTCCTTAGTGAAGTAACTTTAAAAAAATTTTTGGGCGAGTAAAGCAAGAGAGTTTATTGAGATAGAAAAGTATAAAGTGGGAGAATTGAACCCCCAGAATTGGGAGGGGTCTTGAGAGGGTGCCCCAGTAAAGTAACTTTTATTTATTTATTTTTATTTTATTTATTCTTTTTTTCACAGTACTAGGGTTTGAATTCAGGGCTTACACCTTGAGCCATTCTACCAGCCCTTTTATGTGATATGCTTTTCTGGAGATAGGATCTCTACTGTTTGCCCAGGCTGGTTTTGAACTACAAACTTCCTGATTTCTGCCTCCTGAGTAGCTAGGATTGCAGACAGGAGTCATTGGTGCCCGCTGTAAAGTAACTTTTAAAGGATATATTTCAGGAAAAAAGATGAGTCCAGGATTTTCAGAAATGAAAGGAAATGGTAAACATCTTTGAAAGTTTATATAAATATTGCTTTTACAACAATATTAATAGCTTAATTTGAGTAAGTCTTTTTAAAAAGATAAAACTTAAAGGACTGGGGTGGGGGGGAAGTATGGCTAAATGGTAGAGCACTTTCTTAGCATGTATAAGCTCTTGGGTTCAAACTGCAGCACACTCCTACCCCTCAAAAAGGAAAGACTTAAAAACAAGAAGAGAACAAAAATACCAAAAGAAGGATAATTGAAATTAAAATATTCTAAGGTCCTTGCAATATCAGAAATATTGCTTAGTTTCAGACTTTAAGTTAAAAGTAAATGGGAAATTTCAAGGATAACTACTAAAAGGATAGAATTAGAATATTTATCAAAAAAAAATTTTTTTTTGAGATGAGATTTGCTATACTGCTCGGGCTGGCCCCAAACTCCTGGGCTCAGCCATTATCCTGCTTCAGCCTCCCAAGTAGGTGGGACTACAAGCATGTGGCCTATATTCAGTTCAAAAGAACTGAATTAGAATGTTTAAATCCCAAATAAATATGAAGAGGAAATATAACAAAACCAATAAAACCTGTAATCCAAAAAAGTGGGCAAGAAACATAAAAAAAAAGAAAAGAAATTTAAAAGAAAAAACAGGTTCAAATAAAAATAGCTAAATGTAAATGAATTAGACTGACCAATGAAAACATAAAAATGGTAAGATTGTCTAGTTAAATGTCATTTGAAAAGTCATGATAGGGCTGGAGTTGTAGCTCAGTCACAGAATGTGTACTTAGCATGCATGAGACCCTGGATTGAATCCCTAGCACTGCAAGAGTCACAATATAAGAAAAGGATAGGATAAAATGGAAAGATAAAGGATGAAAAAATATACTACTAGGTATTTACTATCCTAAACTTGGAAGGCCTACAGTAATGGCTGATAAAACAGGCTTTAATGTAGAAGAAAAACAAAACTTATTCATTTGGAAGATGTAAGGATTCTGAACTTGGATGCACTTAACTCATGAGTGAAAAAATTATTATGGAAAAATACTTGGAAGAGAAGGACAATGAAAATACATCAAAAACCTTTTGTGATGAAATAATACACACCTTACAAATTCCAACCTTTATCTTATTCTTGTTGGCATCCATCTCTTCCCAGACATCCTTTTCCTGGGGACGAGGGTGTCCCAGAGATCCAGGCATTTTATCTGGTGACACACCAACAGGGATCCCATTCTCCCCATCACTAAGCTGTTCATCTGGAAACACCTCATCTGTATTTTCTCGAAGCAAGTCTCCTGGGATAGGAGTGGCATTGGCAATTCTAAAGTGAGGGGAGAAAAAAAAATATATAGTATACTACCACTTGAGCTACACCCCCAACCCATTTTTTAAAATATTGCTGATTGAACACAGTATTAGCACACAATGGCACCTCTTGTTACAAGTCACTCGGAACACCTAAGCAATTTCAGTAGATGGTACTGATATGTACTATCACTGTGAGCAGAACTTTAAAAGACTGGAATCGAAAATTATTATGAGACTAGACTATACTACATTTTATTTCTAGATTTAAGTGTTGAAGTCCATATATAATTAAGAGAGTTTTTAAAAAATCTTTTTGAAAACTAAGGACATGCCAATTCTACAATACTCTTATGAGTTTTAAGAATTTAGAATTTTCAACCTGTTTTTGAAATTCAGATCCTAGTATAATAACTCACTGATTTGACAGTCACTTTAAGAATCAGAAACATCTAGTTTATTTTTCAAGAAGTCTTTATCAGTTATAACATTTTCTATTCTTTACCCATTTTCTTAGGGAATAAAATAATTACATATAAGAAAATATTAAGCACCGTAAGGAAATAAGTTGGTGTCAGAACAACCAATGCCTTTTTTAGTAGTATGGAATGTATACTGCTTTTTCATTTGCAGACTTTTTACTAAGCACCTACCACATGTAAGGCCCTAGTGACACAAAAAAGAGGAAGGAAATTTGTGCCTTAAAGAGAAACTAGGAATTCTGCAGTTACATAGTTCACATAGTTCTGCATAGAAAAAATAGAAAATATTAGTTGGTATTTGTTTATAAATTTCTTTTCTTTTTGCCTTTTATCCCCTCCTCCCGGGGACTGGACCCAGAACTTCGTACATGAGTGCTTTACCACTTGAGTCACACCCAAGTCTTTTTTTTTTAAGTGTTTGGCTTTGAGTTAGGGTCTCACTAACTTTGCTGGGGCTGGTTCAAACTCTTGGTCCTCCTGCCTCCCAAGTAGCTGGTATTACAAGACTTTTTTGGGTTTTTCTTTGGCAGCAAGGTCTCACTATGTAGCCCAAGCTGGTATTAAACTTGTGATCCTCCTGCCTTGGTCTCCTAAGTGCTGGGATTATAGATATGTACCATGATACTGGCTATATATTTCTTTCAAAGTAATTCCATATCCTATTTACATGGTTGGCCTTTGCTACCTGGTACATAGGAGCATTTTTAATTCTCAGTTATCATTCACTAAGTGAAAAGGCCTCTGCCAGCTCTAATATTCTCTAAGTGTTTGGGATTTTTACTTATTTACTTATTTATTTTTATAAGAATGGGGATTGAACCCTTGCGCTTGCCAGGCAAGTATGCTACCACTTGAGCTACACCCTCAACCTATTTTTTAAAATATTGCTGATTGAACACAGTATTTAGCACACAATGGCACCTCTTGTTCCAAGTCACTCAGAATATCTAAGCATAGGAAAACAATTTCAGTAGATGGTAATGATATGTACAATCACTGTGAGCAGCAAAACAGGCACCCTGTTGGGTAGCTTTGCTAAGAGGAACAATTACATCCTGAGAGGTGTCCTAAGTCCTTCATTGCTTATGAGAAGACCAATGATTTCCCAGGGACTTCTTTCTCCTGACCTGATGATCTTCACTACTACCTCTGCCCAAATGGTGGATGACAAATGAATCTTTTTCTTAATAAACTAGTTATAGGTAAATAATGTAGAAAAGCACTAATAATAGCCTCCAGGAAAGAATCTTATAGCCTAGTAAAGTAGTATCTGTAGTTCAGACTCTGGAAACATATTAAAAAGGAGTCTGCCTAAAATAATTCATGTTAATAGACTTATTATGAAGGTAATTAAAGATCAAAAATAAGCTGGGTGTGGTGGTGCAGGCCTATTATCCTAGCACTCAGGAGGCAGAGTCAGGAGGATTGAAAGTTTGAGGCCAGCCTGATCTACATGGTGAGACCCTGCCTCAAAAAAACAAGAGCCAGGGATGTAGCTTAGTGGTACAGCACTTGCCTATCATATATGAGGCCTTGAATTTGAAACTCCCCAGCACTTCACACACAAAAAGAAATAAATTGGTTACTAAAAGGTTTTTCAGATATGAGTTCAAGATGCAAGAGGTAAAATGGACACTAACATGTGTGCTATGTGGAAGTCTAAATGTTTATTCAAAGAATTCCCTCTATTACTGAGGAAAGGGAACAGCAAATGGATGAATATTTGAACCCAGGAAGCTCAGTCTGCTAATGCTGCCTTTTTTACATTTTAGCCACAAAGTGTTCTTTCTATTCCTTTTCCCCTCTTATATCCAGCACTATTCTTTCTTTCCAACTACTCTAATTCTTCCACTCCTCAGGAAATAAGCCACATCTCTACCTGTGAAACTGCTACCATTTTCACTCAATCCTAGTTTCCGTTTACTCTGTGTTTTGGTATAATGCCACACACTTTAAGGAACTTATCCAGGCTGAAGGAGTGGCTCAAGTGGTAAGAACACCTGCCTAGCAAGTGTGTGGCCCTGAGTTCAAACCCCAGTGCCACCAAAAAAAAAAAAAGGAACTTAGCCATCTTCTCCACACAGATTTTCTTCCATATAACTCAGGTTCCTCTTCTTCCCTCTCTTCCCATCTACTTTCATTCCTCACTTTTTTCTCCTTCCATATTAAACTTGATTCCTTTTCCTAAACTCTGATCTGAATATGGAGTTTGATATATGGAGAGAAACAATTCCTTTCCATGAAAATTATAGCATGTTCAAGACCATGAATAAGAAAGAATGCAGCTCAGTGGTAGAGCACTTGACTAGCATGAACAAGGTCCTAGTTTTGATCTCCAACACCACATTAAAAAAAAAAAGTCAGTGTAAGAGTACTTTGCAAGTAAGGTATAACATAAGCAGATAAAGAGGAAAAAAATGAAAAAGAAAACAAAACAAAAACAAAAGGAGAAGCATTTAATACATATAGAAGAAAAAAGTGCTAAAAACAAAAATTAAGACATAGAAATAGCTGGGCATGGTAGCACAGGCCTGTATTCCCAGCGGTTGGGAGGCAAGTTCAAGGACAGCTTGGGCTACACAGCATAGGCCTGTCTCAAACAAAAAAGGAAATACGCCATAACCTGTTCCTAATACTCTATGCTCTATGTAAATTAAATCACTGTCATAAGAGGAACATGCTACATGTTTTGTTCCCACTAAACTTAAGCATAGCATAGTTAAATATAACTGTGCCTCATTCTTTGCAGGGTCCCATATATTTTTTTACAAATACAACTATTGTTCCCCCTCTTATTTTGAAGAAAAGCCATTGTATGTCAAGCCACATAGCTCTAAGCTCCCACTTCAAAGTATGACCCGCCAGTATTTTCTAAGATAAGTTACTCCAAAAGCATAAACAAGAGCAATGTTAACTTAAGGAAATCCATAGGCTTTCTTGTATGTCTTAGCACCTGATCTGAGGGAATCTGAATGAACTAAAGGAAATTTCTGAAGCATAATGCATCCAGAAAAGGAACCACTGAACAAACTTGTAGGACATACCCGATTGCAGCAGGGGTCAAGCGGGTGTGCAACTGAGGGGTGGTAGAAGTGGTGGTGGTGGTTAGGGAGCCATCAGTTCCAGTCTTCTCCCAGTCAAAAGGGTCACTCTCAATTACTCCAAAGGTCTTGATGCTACTGTCAAACACGGATGTAAGAAGCTAAACCACAAAGAAAAACTAGAGTAAGCCAAAAGTAAACATATCATTTCGATAAGAGAAAGAACCCCACACTTACAGAAGGTTTTATGATATGATTTTCTTCAAAACTAATGATTTAAGAGGGAAACTTGAATAGGACTATATGTGGGTGATGGTACTGAATTAATGTTAATTCTTCTCAGTTGTGGTACTGGTTTGTACTTGTATAGGAAAATTTTTCTATTTTTGGACGATAATAATGAAGCATCATATTTACAATCTATACTCAGTTTGGCAAAAGGAAATTTGTGGTATGTGTATGTTTGTTTGTATTCAGCTGAACAATCAATGTGGTATTAAATTTTTTAAAGGATACTTTTATAGGGTTCAACCTAAATAAATGACCAGTGCTAACAGCTATTATGTCTAGATTGTGGAGGACATGTAGAGAAATTCTTTGTACTTCTTTTCTTGGCGGGAGATGAGTTTAAAAAGTTTTAAAACTTTCTGTGTGTTTATATATACAAATAATCACAAAGAAATTTGAAATTTGTCCTATTAGGACTGGAAGTGTGGCTCAAGAAGTAGAGTACCTGTTTAGTAAGCACAAAATTCCAAGTTCAAACCCCAGTACCACCCCCAAAAAAAGAAATTTATTCTATTAGTTTGATTTATGTTACATGTAATTTCATTTTTCTTTTTAAATTCCTATATTCCTACATTTTTGGGAAAGTTCTCACAAAGAACTTTCCACTTTCTGTTCACATGTAGCATTTTCAATTTTATGATTTTGTGTTTATTCTCTCTTCATTATTTATTTCTCTTATTCTATTAGTATCTTGTCCTCTGGGATTCATCTTATACAGTTCCTGCCCCAGACCTGAAATCAGCACTTCTTCACAGAAGAATTTTTCACCTGGCTGTTTGAGACTTTGTCTAGCAAATGGACAACAGATGCCATAAACAGGGATGAGACTGAAAGTGCTGAGAAGCAATTAGGATCAGTTAGGAGGTCACTGTCAGTTGAGCCAGCAATGGTCACAGTACAGGTGACAAGAAGTGGCAGGATTAAGACAAAATTTGGCGGTAGAGCCAACAGACCTAGCTGACACATTAGATGAAAACTGTGACAGTAGGGAAAGAGTAAAGGATAATTTAAATTTCTGTCCTATTCCACTGGGTAAATATGGTGAGGCAGAAAGCAATGAGATCGGGGACTGGGATATTGAAATTTTAGAGTTTAGAGAGGAATAGGGAATGCAGATACAAATCTGAACATCACCAGAATATAAATAATAAGTATTTATTAAGTACTATTTGAAGCCATGGGAACCACTGATATCATTTAGAAACAGTAGTTAGCAAAGAGGTTCGAGGACTAAAGACCACAGCACTCCAGCATTTGAATGAAAGGAAGACTCAGCAAAGGAACAAAAATATGAGGAGTGGCCAGTAAGGTCAAAAACCCAAAAGTATGGTATTCTAGATGACAGGTAACAAAGAGGATGACTGAACACTACCAATTATAAATTTATAGTTATTTCTGATTATTCAATTCAGGTACTACAGAAAAGGTTAGATCAAAAAGAATTAACCTAGAAGGTAACACCCACGCACAGGAAATCAATGTGAGTCAATGCCCTGTATAGCTATCTTTATCTCAACCAGCAAAACCCCTTGTTCCTTCCTATTATTGCTTATACTCTCTCTACAACAAAATTAGAGATAAGGGCAAAATAGTTTCTGCTGGGTATTGAGGGGGGGAGCGGGAGGGGGTGGAGTGGGTGGTAAGGGAGGGGGTGGGGGCAGGGGGGAGAAATAAACCAAGCCTTGTATGCACATATGAATAATAAAAGAAAAAAAAAAAAAAACCTAGGGAGGACACAGGGGAGTCTCAAGCCCCTTTACACATAAGTTCCAGGGCACAGAGAAAAAAAATAAAATAAAATAAAATAAAATTTCTTTCTCTTCCAACCCATACTGTAAGCCCCAAGTAGTTAGTACATGTCTGATGTCACTCATCACTGCATCTCCAGGGCCTAACACATTGCCTTACACATAACAGTTACTCTAAAGACATTTCAAGGATAAATGTTCATTAATAATAATACTTGCCATAAGATGCACATACCTCTACCTTTCATTTAAAACCCAAAGGAAGAAGAATCAATGTAGAATAGTAAACTAAAAAGATGAGAGGAATTGGAATAGGCATGGTTACAAAATCTGGGAAACTCTATTGATTCTACTTTTATCCATGCAGCTTACCTGTGTTATAGCTTAGGCTCCCCCAGAATATCATGTAGAAGGCTACAGAAAACACAAGGGAGAAGGGCTAGGAATGGATATCAGTGAAAGAGTGTTTTCCTAACACGTAGGAGGCCCTGGGTTCAATCTCCTGCTCTGCAAAAAAAATAAAAAATACAGGAAGCAAAGGAAGGGGGACTGTGACTCGGGATTTGGGTACTTCAGTGCCAGATCTTAGACACCCCTCTCCTGACTGAAATCAATGTCTTGTGGATTCTCAATGTGAGATGCATGCTTTCTGGAAGGTGGTAACCCTATTCATGAGGCAGGGCCTGCCTTGTTGTATGAGTATGTAGACTGCTACTACTAAATCCAATGTCTGTACTGTTCTACAATAGCGAGAATACTATTTTTTTTTAAATCAGATGTCCTTTTATCATTGAATTATTTTCTTACATTTATTATATATCTGAGAAGAGACATTCTATGTCATTGGATCTTAAATCAGGAACACCATGATGGTTATACTAAAGACTAGCACCAGGGAGGCAGAAGGATAGAGAACACAGAACAAAAGAAATGGAGGGAAACGGAAAGCATTGTGACACTTAATGGCACCCTAGTGGAAACAAATGGTTGGACAGGGCAGAGGTCTGTAGATTTATTTATTTATTTATTTTCTGTAGATACTTTAAAGAGAAAAATATTTCTAGCTTAGAAAAATAAAGTTCTAATTGCAGACTAGAGTAGCTCTAAACCAGAATGGAACAGTAGAAATAGGACAAGTCAAGGGCTCACTTTTTGGTAGCTGAATTCATTACATTACATTTGGCTAAGATAAATAACAATAAAACCAGAAAACTTTAGTTACTCATTCAGATTTGAGAATGTAGTCACTTTGTAAAATCATTCATAAATATAGTAGTGTGAGTTCATGTATGAGTGCGTGCACATCTTCACAAACTTGAATGGTCCTCATTTTGTTTTTTGGTTTTTTTTCTCATTCTGTTTTATACCCTAGTATTATTGGGAAATAAAAAACTTCACCATCGGAACAGGGGCTCATTCTCAAATTGGAATGGAGGCAGGGGAAAAAAAATCTAAAAAACCTTTTAGATGACTGACACTTCCTTCTAGGGAGTCATGTCCCATATTTCACCATTGATGTTCACTGGGGACATGTTTACTGTAAAAGGATAATCAGTGAAACAATGTGAGAAACACTGGAAGCATCATCACTAGGAAAGTGAATCTTCCTTCATTGGAGTGTGGAGGGAGGCTGTTGAAAGGAGGGGAAGTGATGGAGAAGGAATAAAAGGAGAGAAGAGCTTAAAAAGATATGGACAGGCCATAATGCAATGTTATTATTTTTTTTGTGTGTTGGGGGGGGAATGGGGTTTTGTTTTGTTTGTTTAGACAGGGTCTTACTATATAGTCCAGACTGGTCTCAAACTCATGATTCTTCTGCTGAGCCTCATAAGTGCTAGAATTACAGGTACATGGTAGCTTGGCTGGAAGTAATCTCTTTTTTGTTAAGCTGAATAGTAATGAGCGATACAATAAAATTATTTTTCTAAAGCAAATTTTTCAAGACACAAGAAAAGGTAAACAAAATGAGATGCCATGTCTAGATAATGAGATTCTGAGTAATTTTCTACTTTTCTATAATGTCTAAATTTCTATAATGACCACGTATTACTTTTAAAAGCTAGAAAACATTTAACCAATAAAAAATGAATTACTTAAAATAAAATTGGGGGGAGGGAGGATAAAGGAGAATGATGGAAGAAGTGAATTCAACTATGATATATTGTAAGAACTTTTGTAAATGTCACACTGTAACCCCAGCACAACAATAATATAATAAAAAAATCTAAAAAAAAATTAAATAAAATTTGATTATATTCCTAACCAAGTGTAGCCCACCAAGATGCTTGCTGCAAGCTCCTGCCACCTGGAACCCCCTTATCATTACAGTCAATGACATAAGCACAGTGCCTTGGAGAAGCACTCCACTTTTATCCTTAGCATAAAATGCAATCAATAGCTGTGAAAGGGAAATCCATTTGCCCTTTCAAAGAAAATGAAGCCAATGACCAGCATTTGCAAAACCAAGAATTATTTGTAATCTGATATGAAGAACTTCAGAAAATTCTGATTCCTGAATTCTCAGTTAATAAATGGTTAATTAGTGGATCAATAAAGCATTTAAGCTAAGAGAGCACAATAGCAATGCTGGCTTGGCTGATTCAAAGATAGATTTACTGCAAAAGAAACTACCTCATTTCAGTGATAAGTAGATGTAACAGAAGGAAAGAAATGCACTTTTTTACTTCTCTGCTCTTCCAGGGGATTTTTAGCAACAACTGGTAGAGGGAAAAAAAAAATTGCATTGCACCCATCCTCTGAATAAGAGAAACCAGAAAATACAGAGACTAAATAAATGAGTTAGAGAGGCAGATGAGCTTCAGCCATTTTCACTACTTCTATCAAGACACTGAACAACTCAGGAATGCCTTCACCACCACTCCCTCTCAGCTGCCCCAGCACCTGAGGTGGGAGACAGCAAGAGTGCTCATGCAGTCAACAGCGCTGGCTGACTGACACCAATGTCTTCCCCTACTTCAGGCGCTCAATTGGCCCACAGGTAAACTGTCTGGCAGTTTCTCAAGGCCTCCTAACAGGCCAATTTTCTTATTGCCTTAACAGGACAAAACACCATGAAGGAGATAAAAAGTTCTATTAACACAGAAGTAATGCTGACTAGAATACAA